CATCTCGTGAGTATACGCTCTTTTTTGAATCTCTCTTCTTTTCTTTTTTTTTTTTTTTTTTTTTTTTTTTGTTTCTTCGTCTTGTTATTTCGCATTTCAAAACAAAACAAAAATGTAGTGTGTCTTCAACTCTTGCGATCTCTTGCTTCAGACGCAAATGTCGTGATAACAAAAACGCACAAGGTTATTAAAACGCACGGATTTCTTCCGCTGCGTCGAATAAAAGCGTCACATCTCTCTTCACAACCCCTCTCCCCGTCTTCTTGAATTAATTAATTAATTAATTCTTATTCGAAGAGAAGAAGCAATTTCTGTATATATACGTGTATAAAAAAGAGCGAGAGCACTTTAAACGCACGTGTCTGTTAAATAATGGAGGGAAGAAATACTATCCAAGTCCATTATCGACGAGAATCGTGACGATGGAAATATCCGATTAAATCGGGAATGCAACTCTCGGGGTGGAAGTTTTTGCGCCGAGCAAGCCGAGCAAGCTACAAATAACCGTTTCGAGTAAATGGCGCAGTTCGCTTTTCGCGAATATCTCCGAGGCGAAAGAAGCCGCCGAGGTCAAGGAAAGTTCGCAAATGTCCCCGTTCTAAATTATCAAGAGTTTTTCTTGAGTCGTTTTTTTTTTCCTTTTGTTGGACGCTGCGCCGTTTTCGAAACTCTCTTTCGAGCGCGTTTGTCAGTCGATTGTAACTTTGCTCGTGCGTAAACTCGAGATACGTGAAAAAATATCAATGCGGAAAGGCAACAAAATGTGTCGGAAAGAGAGAAATATCAACGTCGAGCGCGGCGACGTAACGAACAACGGAGTCACGTGAAGGGAAAACACACGTTTGGTGTAAATCGCGTTGTCAAGGAATGCAAATATTAGAAAAAAAAATGACAAAACAATACGAGATCTGTAAACAGGTCGCGCCGCGTGCACACGTTTTGGGAACAAGCAGCAGCGCGCCGAGACCAATTTCAACGTTTCGTTCTTTTCTATCTGTAAGTCGTTACTTTGCACATCATTACAGTGTGTGCGTCAACGTACGTGTGTGATATTTCATACGATATTACGTATTTGCAATGATTTTCGAGCACGTCTCTTGCCGATCGATAACTTGTTAAATAAAATTGGCTCGGAAAAAACGCATATAAAATATTGCTCGTACAACTAGTACGCGCGCGCGCACGTGATGTATGTACTCGGTAAATAATTAAATATAAAGTAAAAATCAGAAGTGTGTGTGTGTTTGTGTGCAGAGTTTACACAACGTTTACATCAGGTGAAACAAATTTAAATGTGTAAATGCAAAAACACACACAAGCGGACGTAGTTAAAACGACGCGAATAATTATAATAATTAATAAAGAGAAAATTGTAATAAAATCGTGTGCTTAATCTTTTTTAACGAAATGCGCAAATGAAGATAAATTCGCGAAGCGAAACATTTTTTGCTTCTTTTTTTGTTATTATTACAGAGAAAGAGAGAGAAATAGAGAGAAAGAGAGAGAAAAATCGCGTCGATTTGCGGAGACAATTCAGCGTAATGTAAATTCCGAATACCCATGAAGGAACTTTTTCTTCTTTTTATTTTTCCCGGTTGTACAACGTCGAAGACGTATCTTCTCTTTGTAGAGCATTAGCGTGAGTGCATTGCGCACAGTGCGTATACCTGCTGCTCTCTCGAGCGCTTTTACAGGTCACGAAACACTGTCGTTACCATTGCAAATTCTTGTTATTGCCGTCCATCATGGCGTCAAAGGCCTCGATGACAGACGAATGTATATTTTTGCCTTCTGAAAGCGCATTCATCGTTCTCGGTCTGTTGAGATGAATGAGCGGTTCGGCTTGTTGTAATGGCTTAATGGGGGGGGTCGTCGATATGCCATTTTTCGAATTAAAGCCTCGCTGTGCGTGTGTTTTCTGTAATATTCCATTCGAACAGCGCGCACACGTTCGTCTTTCGATCGTGATTGGTACAAACTCGATCTTCTTGCTCGCGCCACTAGACTTCAGCGGTTCAGGCGAGAACTGTGGTCCGGCGACTTGTTTGAAAGAAAAATTCAACATTTTCGCTAAGTTTTTCGAAGACCCGATTCGAAGTTTCGTCTTTGAACCGGACGGACGCGATATTGAAAGAGACCGGTCCGGAAAAAAATCTCAAGATGCTGGACGGATTCGAATTCGCGATCTTCAGAGAGACTCGCAGTTCCTGCACCGAAAAGTCGCGAGATCGTTGAGCCCCGGTCGTGACGTTGAAAGTGGAAAGAGAGAGGGAGAAAGAGAAAAAAAGAGTGAGAAAGAGATATCTCTTGAATTAACATCGTGGCGTAATTAGTGGGTCTTCTTTCATCTGTCTAAATGGTGTCAAAAACTATTGATCGCGATGCGAACGACCTCAACGCCCGTTTCCCAGTTATATTTGTATATTCGAACCCTCCCTCGCGGCAAAGGTAACGAGAAAACGTATAAATACGTCCGACGATATTGTTGGAACATTCATAATTAGATCAGATGTGATTCTGATACCTGCCGTGTTCGATATCGATGTTATATCTCGAATTTCGCCCAATTCGCGAGGAGAACAATGAGCCAAACGAGAGGAGAGAGAGAGAGAGAGAGAATGTATTTTCACATATATACGCGATCGCGCAATATTCGCGCGCTAGATATATATATATATATATATATATATATATATATATTGCATTTGCGCTATTCCATACATGAGATCAAAGTAAATTTGCGCGCAATGTAATCAGATGAATCGTCGAATCGTTACAATTTGTTAATATTCGCGATTTTCGTATCGCGAAATCTACGTTTCGAGCGTCTAAAAATAGATGCACGCCGCTGTTTAAAAGCGTCATGGAGGTCGACGGAGAACGATTTTGAGACAGTAATTAGAAGATGAGACTTCCCGCCGACCTGTGTGTCCTGTTTGTGAGAAATTCACTCTCTCTCTGTCTTTGATCGAAGCCGCGCTCCTTTGCCGGATGGCGCAGTAATCGAAGCAAACGTCAATGCGGACGTTACAGTGGTTGCGTTTTAATTATCGACGACTGCGACCTCGTTCGAACGATTCCGTCTCTGTCTCTCTCTCTCTATCTCTCTCTCTTTCTCTCTCTCTCTAAGTTGCTTCCTAATTTGTCGAATATCTGAGTGTATTGGAACATTTTCCGAGGGAAAAAAGATTTGCTTTCGGAAGAAAATACATTTCACCTGCAAAATACGAGATTAACGAGACGTTTAAAATAAACACAACTACACAAATGTGAATTCGCTATCAACTGTTTTTTTACACCGATGTTACACGGTACTTTTTTTTGTTGTTGTGTCGGTTTGAAGTCTGAAGTAATTAATGCTAAGAGCGCGCGACAGAACAAATTATTACAACAACGCGAATCTGAAACATAGCAAAAAGAAAAAAAAAAAAAAACAGGTTTTGCGGGAAATCTCGGCGTGAGATTTTTTATATTTTGCACAGCGCGCGCGCGTGTAAAACTGGCCGGGTGAGTTCTTGTTTCCACGGTGCATTACGTGTACAAGGCGCATTTGCGGAGGCTCGCTCGTGGATGCATCGCCGCTGTTACACGCCGATTTTCCTCGTCTACACGGCAACGCCTCTGATTTATTCTACGGAACTTTCCGCGTTCGGCCACCTAATGTACCATAGCCGGCGCGGCTATATAGCCATCCTGTTGCGCGCGTGGCCACATGCATCACGGCGAACTACGCCGCACTTTTTCATTCTAACATCTTCCCTCTTTTCTACCTCCTTCCCCTCTCCCTTTCGGTTTCTGTAAAATTAGCGTCGTTAATTCAGCAGCTCCCCTCTCCCCGCCGACGTCTCGATTTTTACAATTCGGTAGCAATTTAGTCCGGCGAGACGGAACGAGCAGACGCCACGCGGTTCAATTCGATATCTCGATGAAAAAAAAAGAGAAAAGGAGATAAGAGGGGAGAAAAACGAGACAGACGGACAAACAGAGATAGAGGAAAAGGGAGAAAAAAAGAGTTAAAAACTAGAGAAATCCCGATTCACTTATTTACCGCAGCGCGCAATAAAACAGACGCCATTAGCGTAAAATTAATTCCGGAATAAAGTAGAAAACTCGTGAAACTACTGCCGCGTTCGTGGGCGACACATTATTAGCCCGGCTCCCGGTCATTTTCGTTGCGGCATTACACAGTGTTGCCTACGGCACACGTTCTCTGAACAAATGTGCAAACCGCACGGAGTCGAGAGCGATAAATTTATTTTTCGACAAAATTTCGTAGACGTTTCGCGTTCGTCGTCGCGACGCAAATGCGTTTTAACCCATACCCCGTTTTTTAAATTATTCTTCGGTAAAAAATAAGAAAATTATACAAGTAAACTCGTTTCGATATAAAAAAAAAAAAATTTAACGGAAATGCCGTGGAAAAGTCGAGTAAATTTAACGACGAGAACCACACTGCCGCTGGCTATCGGTTTTTGTCGCCGTTGTGCGAAATGTGTAATTCGATAGTTTGCGGAAATATATACACAAACATGTGTGTGTGTGTATATATATATATATATATATATATACATATATATAAATGTTGTACAACAGCAACAACAACACGGCGAAACTGGCATAGAAATGCGGCAAAAATCAAGCGCGTTCAATAGGCAAGAACACCGGGAAATGCTGCTCGGCCGACCGACAGAATGCACGGTATGCCTTTATAAGCAAAACACTAGAATCTCCGGTAATCCAATTAAGCAAAGACGCGCGAATTACCGCGAATCCCCTTTCTCGGATTCACGCTTGTTCCCTGGCACAATTCTCCAAGCCTCCTCTCGCGCCTCAGTTTTCCCTTATCCTCCCCTCTCCCTGACTAACTCGAGAACGATTCAACCCCTGTTACTACGTATGCCTTACAAATGACGGGATAAAAAGCCGACGAGTTTTCCGGGGGGGGAGGTGACTTTCTGTCTCTCGGTGGAATGTACATACGTGTGTGTGTGAGTCTCGCGTCATTAATTCTCAAGGCTCTTTTCTCTTTTTCTCTATTTTCGAATAAAACAAATTTTACGGTATTGAATAATGTTTTTTTTTATTTTTATTCATATTTTCGGATGCGCGTTTTAACAGCGGAAAATACAGATTTTTTACGCTCACTTTTTTCACAATTATTGTTGTTGTAATTTTTGTTCTTTTTACGGTATAATATTTTTTTCGGATTACTGATACTAACTTTTTTTTGGAGGAAGAATAAAAAATTTAGCGTGATGTAAATTATACATGAGGTGTTTTTAAAATGTCGCGCGGAAAATGCAACTTTTTAAAATCTCTCATTAAATATTTCGCATAGATTTGCAATACAAACGTCTCGAAACTTGTTAAACAAAAACGGGTGTATGCACTCGATCGCGAATGGTGCACCCGGAATACTTAACGCGTCGGGAATTGCGCTGAATTTCTTCTTTGGTGCTCAACCATTTCCACTCGAAGGAGGTCGTTAATCCCGGCGAGATCAACCTTTCGCAAGGGTCCCTCCGTCGCATTTACCCCACTGCGAAGAAATTGAACAAGTATTTATGATCCTTCCGCGACGACGACGCGCTCGGTTTCACGCTCGGCGCGATTTACGATATTATTTCTATCGCGGGTCAGGGAATCGACCGTTGTAACCACCCTCCGGCTGCGTTACAACGGCGCGAACGTCGTTATTCAACGAGATTAGCCCTTCGGCCTCGTTTCTTCGTGTATCCTTTTTTCTCTCTTTCTCCCTCTCTCTCTCTCTCTCTCCCTTTTTTCTCTTTTTACGCTTGTCTCTTCTGTCTCTCGTCCGCTTCAGCTCTTCGTCCCTTCCAAACATTTTCGCCTGGATAAACGACGAATCTCGGCTGGCCGGAAAATATACGTCCCTGCTAAATAAAACATTGTCGGGACTAGGTGCGAAGTGCGCCACGAGAATAAATGGGCGAGAAAGCGCGCGATGGGGGTTGCATCTGGAGGAAGAGGGGGAGAAAAAAAATGTCGGAAAAGAATAGCGCGGATATGGGTATCGCTCTCGTCTCGCCTGAAACTTCCCTTTTCCTCTTCTCTCTTTCCCTCACGTAGATCCAGAGATTTTTAATAATTTTCACTGAAATTATGAGTTCGCAACTCCGTCACCGAGCTGATGGCTTCGACGCGTTAATCAATACTTCGCGAAGCGTTTTGTTCTTTTCCAGTTCGTTGTGCATTAACTTTCCGAGGAGCGCAATAAAGCACGCGAAAAAATCTTGCAATATAAATGATTTATGAAAAATACATCTTTTTTGTTTTTTTTTTTCATCTCTTTGTATTTTCAATCTATCGGCAATATTTTATTGAAATATTGTCTCGCTGCTTACTCCCTCGGGGTTGTTATTCTGAAAACATATAGAGCTATTGTGTTTTTTTGTTTTTTATTTAACAATCAATAAAGAAACGGAGGAGTGAGAAAAAATCTTTGTCAGAGATAAAAATCTCATTATGTAAGGGTGAATTTTAAAACAGGTCGCCAAGCTTTGCCGAGAAGCGCGCGCAACGCTTTGATTTCTCCTCGAGGAAAGTTTAATTTATTGTTACGATATTCGTTGTGTTTTAACTATTTTTTTTTACAACTTTTTAATTCGCAAACAACACGCGTTCTCCGCGGTTGTCACTGAATTGTAAACGAGTAACGTTTTTGTGTCGCTTCGTTTTAGACTTTAATTGTTTTTACGTTAAAAAGTTTTGTTTTCAATTTATATATTCGTAACCATCCCTCACACACAAATTACATATTGACCGTACCGTACAGAAAGAGCGCGGGGAGAAAGAAGAACAACGCGAAAATGAAAATGTTCTAGAAAACAAATTTGGCACACACGAAATTTGTTAGGGTCATAAGGGGGGGGAAGGGGGTTTTTTAAGTCGGAGATTTTGGTTATATTTTCTTATATTTCCGACGCGTGCTCGTCGAATAATCCCGGCATAATCTGTCACGAAATTGCTAAGCCTCGAGTAGCTCGGGGTTTACGTGACGTCTACGAAAGCGTCTCGACGAGAGAGATATGGCCGCGATATTAAATCCTAGCGCAGGTGGATTTTATTCCACAGCTACGTATACGGGAGTCATTCCTTGTCTCTCTCTCTTTCTCTATATTCGGATCTTATTTCGGACAGCTCTGACAATATTTTCAGTCGGTCTATTTCGAAAGGTAATTCGTCGCGTGCGCGTATTCCCCGTCGGTGTGTTCGGAGAAAAAACTCCCGAGATGCTTCAGTATATTACTTATCGATTGTGTTTCATTATCGGCGTTCTCGTTGTTCTCCAATCAAGCGATTTTTTCGTCGTTTGGATCTTCCATAAGGCGAGCGAGCGCGCGCGCGCGTTCTCGCGTTGTATTAACGTCCGAAACGTTCGCGACGTAATTTCGCGACGTTCTCATTTTGTTTCACGGGAATGGAAGTTTCTGCGGCTTGCTGCGAAAGTTTTACGAGTATTCAAGACGAACGCGTGTCTTCTCATATTTATGACGAGCGTCTTAATGCTCGGTCACGATGTGCCGACACGAACTCCCTGCCACGGGGACTTTCAGCGACTTATTCCTTCCTCTCGTTATACCGCCTGAAAGATAATTCTCGTCTTAAAGTGACGCATTATATCCCAGCGACGTGTTTAACGATGCGCTTTATACTCGTTTCGTTTCGGAGAAACGGCTCGTTGGCCGTCGTCTCTCGCGAAAGATTGTTTAGAAAGGGGGCTAAGTGCTCGCCCGCGCTCCAGTCGGCGAGGAAAAAAAGAATCATTTAAATAAGTTTGAGTAAAAAATAAAAAATGTGTAAAAAAATACGGGAATATATACATCAGGGAAGTGGGCAAACACACTCCCGCTCTTCTGTGTAACGTGTCAACGCGTCTTTTTGACGCTTAAATGCGCCTTAAATAAAACTTAAATATACACCTTAATAAATTTACTTCGTCGGGCATCTTCAAGTTAACCCCCGCGCGAATGAAAATTATGCCGCGAGCTTCTCTCCAAGGATTTAACCGCTCAAGGGATGTGCTCGACAATGAACGTTTCTTAAACTACTGTTAAAAAGTCTCGCTTACTTCTACATTTTGCAAATAAAAGTTTATCGTCTCGTCTCGCAATTGATTCGCTCGCGCGCGTACATAAACACACACACACACACACGCACTTAATGATCGACGAAGTTATACTGCTCGACTCACTCTGCGTAAAACGTTAATGCGTCGCAAAAGTTTTACATGACATTAACGGGATCTTCTCAAGAAATTGGCACAAAATAAAGACAGTTTTACGTAGAATTTGTTCAAGACAGATGAGAAAGAGGATTTGGATCTGGTGTGTTTTTATTTGTCAATTTATTTTCTTTAAAAAAAAAAAAAATTCTGTAAAATTTAATAGAATCTTTCGAATGTTTCAAGTGTCGCGTCGAGAGGAAAAAAGAGACTCGAAAAATCAATACTTCAAGCGCGCGAGAGCGGGACGGTGTAGGAAATTACGAGGATCCCCTCTCTATCTCATAAGCGTGGGTGAAAATGAATTTCCGAAATCGATTGTCAATGTCGCGCTGTCTGTTACGTGTCCCGGCGCTTCCTTTTCCCCCTCCTTCTCCCGGTGGTGTTGAAAAACGAATATATAACGTACGGGAAAAATTTATCAAAACGCAAAAAGAGACAAATTGGTAGAAAAGAACGAATATTGAAAGCTCAGTTCGCGCTAAAATAAAATTTTCGCCGACTTCACAATTTTCTTCTCACATCATGTGAAACCGATATCGTCCGCGACGTATAAACGTGGACAAAAAATATAGAAAAGAAAAACTTTATAATAATTTGTGAACCTTCTATAATTCTCAATAAAACTCTGCAAATTTTTCTCAATTTTTTTTTATTTGAGAGAGAGATATTAAAATATATTTTATCTCACATATATTATTAAAAATTAATATTATTGCTCTAATTGCATGTATTTTATATAATCTCTCCAGGAGAGCACGAGATATTGCAATGATAAAACAGTCTCGCAGAGAGAATAAATCCTCTCAAAACTTCTGATTGATTTCTAACGCACGCATATGTTTAAACAAGTAGACGATACAAATGGAAAATTATATGTAAAATTATATGTAATAGTGGACTGCAAATAACAGTTATCGCGCGTAATATTAGGAGCACTTGTTATATTTCTTAAGACTGGCACCGTCGATTAGAAAAAAAAAAAAAAAAAAAAAAACCAATGCAAAAAACAAACGTCATAAGCGGATAATAAATTATGTAATACAGTTTCTCTCTGTCGTACACTTGTCCGGAAGAGTCCACGTCCGAACCCCAGTTACGCCAATTCTCCAAATGCCGTCTTTAAAAAAAAAAAAAAAAAAAAACCAATGCACCAATGAGCGCAACGTCGCGCAAATCGTGCGACACCGATCATTCTAAAATCGATTCTCAATGTTGCTGACCCACGCGCGTCGACCACACGTGGTCGAACTTGGGCCTGCTCACACGCTATTGGACCGCCATTTTAAAGAAGGCCGGATCGACGTTAAGTGCGAAGCGACTTCACAGAAATGTGGTCACATTCACCAGCTCAGAGTCCCACCTGGTAAGCCTCAAAAGCTTGAAAACAAAAAAAAAAAAAAAATCAGCAAGTGAAAAAGATGAAGCAGAGAGCTCAGCTCGCGAGCTCTCATTTGATTGGCCCGAAAATGCACCTGTATATACCTAATTGGCTAACTTTCACGCGAGAACTTTAGCTTCTTAGAGAGGAGTATATCACCTTTTTCTTCTTCTTCTTCTACCACACCACTTCTTCTTCTTCTTCTTCTTCTTTTTTCTCTGTTTCTTTTCGTCCGTTTCTTTTTTCTATTTTACTTTTTTTTTTTTTTTACTCGATCTTAGAGTACGTATAGACGATATCTGTCTTACATGCGCGATTCTTATTTCAATTTTATCGTTTCTTTTCTCTCTCTACTCTTTATTTCTCTATCGAAGAAACATGTAGCTCGTGAAAGGGAACACCGATACGACAAGGAAATACCCATCCCGTTGGAAATTTCTGAACATGAAAATATATCTTCACGCGCGCGCGTCACGTTATGTGATATTTTTGAAATTATTTTTTAAAATTGCTAATAACTTTGTGTGTCTAGTCGCGCGACACTATTTTTATCGAAACAGTATCGTATCGATGTTCCGATTTCACGGGCACGGTTTCTGCGAATGGAATAGGAAGTCAGCCACAATATGTACATAGCTCACGCGTGAATAATATATACGCACACGACACTTAAGCTAGCTCTATATATATAGGTTACACACCAATGATATCACTGCACATGCACGCAATATAATCTCCTCTTCATTCACCATTATTCTCTCTGTCGTCGGGACGCGGCTCAATATTATCTTCGCTTTATTGGAGAGCACGATCCCATTTTCCAAGTTTATTTATTCTTCGAAAAAATTAGAATTGCCATTATTAGTTTGCAAAAAACGAGTCAATTTTTCAAAAATTTTTTGCGCAAATTTCTTCTCGGATCAATTTGTGTGAAATGAAAATCCATTTTGTTAATTTAACCGCGAAATGACTGTGAGCGCGAATTTGTTAAACAATAAAGATCACAAACTTGCAAACGGAGTTAACTTTTAGCGGATTTAAAGTACTGCATTCTCTTCTCGGTCTGGCAAAATCGGTCAATGAGGAAAAGAAAACAAATAATGTTGTATGATCACTTCATCGAATCATCCTCTCTGCCTCACGGAATGAGTGACCAATGAGCGTCTGACAATTGCCTTTAGCTCGAGCACTAAGCTGCATGAGGAAAAGAGAATGAACGAACGAAATGCACCCGCCTGCATGTTGATGCAAAAAAAAAAAAAAAAAACGATCTACGTCTCTAATTGTATTTTCAGGACGAAAGAGCAGATTTGAATTGGTCGACGTCGATTGGTAGCCTCGCTACTGTGTTACCAATTTATTATCGAAACATAATTTTGTTTAAAGATATGTACATATATACGCGCTGAAAAATTCAAAACCGTGCATAAGAGTTTTTTTTAGTATGTTTTTAAATTTATTTATTTTTATTTCTGAAATGTTCTCCTTCACTCAGTAAAAAAAAATTCTCAGAGCAATGCACTTTTTCTATCGCAAACTTGAGTTGTCACATACGTGTACGAAACGCCAAGTAATATTACGGTATCGAAAAAGTTTTTTACTCGCGAAATATCTTCTTTTGCTTAAAAGCAAAAACTTACTACGCGAAACGGTCTCGCTTTTGAATATATTTCGAGCGATTATTGCGTATATACAGACGTAATGTACGGTAATAAAATAAAAATAAGACATAAAAATGTAAATATACGAAATTAAAAAGTACACCAAAAATAAAAAAAAGTAAAATATGCTAATGTGAAATTTTTTTATTCTAAAGAGCGGAGACGCGCGGTATAGCGTGTAATAATGTTGAAGCTTTTAAATTTACCTCTTGAATAATAAAAAAAAACGCGTTATATTGTTGTGTCCGCGTATTAAACGTATTTATTGCATCGAGCGTAGCTCGGCAACGCGAGGAAAAAGTTGATTGTAAATAAAGAAAAAAAAGGAGCAAAAAACTCGATTGAAAGAAAGGGAGAGAGCGACAGATACAGTGAGAGAATGAGAGAGAGAATGAGGGATGTTAAATCGATCGATCGATGTATCATGATCGAGACAATCAGTCCTGGAATCAGTCTCAGTTCGTCTCACAGTCGTTTCACATGGTACCAACACGCAACGCACACGTTATACAATACACACACACACACACATATATATATATATATACACGTAAAACACATAGGTATACACGTTCCACTTTTGCCTACGTCGTGGGTAAGATGGCCCTAAATTCTCGTCTACTAAGCCTCGACGTATATATACGCCGCGCCTAACCACGACACCAATATCGTAACTCTTGCGCAGCTGCAACACACGGTGGTGGTGGGACTCTGGGTAAGAAAACACTTGGAATAACTTTGAATATATATTTCTCGATTACCTTTCCGTGCCAAAAGTTCCACTTCCGCTCGCTTCTCATTCCGACAACAGAGAGAGAGAGAGCTCGAGAAGAATGCTCGTCTCCTCTCGATTCCCAGTTCCATGGGAGGTTTCTTTTAATTTACGGCACGCGCGCTCGCGTATTTGTTTTGCACATCGATATACACGTGTTTGCGTACCGAGTGAGTTTTCGTTTGTTTTTACGCGCGATTACAATTACGCGCGCGCGCGAATATTTTTTTTTGTTTTTGTTTTTAGTTTTGTTTCGTACAAGATACAGAGAGTCGGGGGTAATGTGTTTCGCGTTCTTGCCGATATTTTTTAATTTTTACACCAGCCAGCTCGCAAATTTTTCACAGACTGCGTGGAATTTTATTTTTCACATTCTCACACACACACACACACATACACACAGAGAAAAATTCAACTTTGCGCTTGATCAAAATGTAAAAAAACGTTTAATGAATTTTATTTTGTTATTTTTGTCAATTTTAACGTCACAAAGAATTTCTATTCCCGTTACGTTTCTTTTTACGCGGAGAGTTTCCCTTATTTTTCCTCCCTCCCTCCCTCTTTGTCTCTTCTTCTGGAGTTTTCTACAATTGTATTTCAGGATTCTCGATCGCTCGCGTGGATCCGCTTCTTCTTCTTCTTCTTCGTCGTCGTCATGGAGCTCGCAGGTGAGAGAGATCATTTAATCGATCTTTTTTCGAGACGAGACACGAGCCTCGGGCGTAAACACTTGACTTTTAAACAAAGCCACCGTGTTACGAGGCACGACACACAGTTACTGCGGTTGTTAAGCCGGGCTATAACACTCCCGCGCTGCTGAGAGTAGCTTGCAGGAAGCAGCTTGCGGTTTCTGAACTCCGGATAGCTTTGCTCTGAGCTCGAGACAGGCGGACGTGAATTAATATGTACACAAGGACTTTATTAGATGCGTTTAAAACAGCGGGGATAATCGAGTAACCGCCCAATCGTAAGTACAACGCGGTAATCGCACAATTATCGCGTCGAAGACTCGAAACTCTTTTCTCGCATTTAGCGAAACAACGTCGTTTCACTTGCTTTTTGTGAGAGATATTCTGAATTAATAATATTTTAATGTAATTTTTTTTTTATCGTCTAACAATATTCTAATTTACGACAAAGTCGCGATATATTCTATGCGTCGCGTTATATTCGAAAATCTTGTACGGACATCGCCGAGGAAACTCTTGTTGTTACGCGTTGTGTTGTGGATGCAAGTTCTTTCCGAACACACGAAACAGCTTACTTGTGACAACGAACGAGTTATTAACGCGTAATTAGGAGGATACGTTTACCTTGATCTGACAGTTACAGTTAATTAACTTCGTAACATGACGAGAGAGAGAGAGAGAGAGAGAGAGAGGGAAAGAGGAGACGAGAAATAAGTCGATATATAATCGGGCGAGCGCGATTAGTTTGGATGGAGGAACGCCCAAGCTATCCATCGCGGATTCTACGTTTTGACGTAGTTGGGGAAACTAATCAGCCAGCCAACGCGCGCGTATGTATACCGGGCGACCTTAATCCGTCAGAATCGGTTCGCCAAGAAGGAGACGTTCCGACATGTTATCCGATAGCTCTCCGATATTGCCTTGCACGCTGACACATTTCTATTCGCTAGGAAATTCCACGCGGTTCGTGTAACGCAATCAGATGCCCGATGATGACGGCAGGTGCTCCCCCATGTGGGAGCACCCTCCTCGCGAATGTTACCTGCCAACACCGGCACAACAGGTCGGATTGTTGTTTGTCTTCCAGTGCGGGTTTGTGTGTTTTTTCGAAAACCGCGCTTTTGTCGTCGCGAATTTTGATTAAAAAATCGCGTAACGCGTTACGAATTATTACGTTCCGTTAATTGTGAGTAGATCTCGCGACGCAATTGCTAATTTCGCGAAGCAAACTCGTACTTGGATTTTCCTTTTTGCGTGTAGAACTTTGAAAATATTTTGTTTTTAAATATGTAATTTTTTCAAGTTTTTTCGGTAAACTAATTAAACGCGCGGGAACAAAAAACCGAAATAACTGTAAGTGACAATTGTTGACATAGAGAAATCTGGATAGGTTTGGCGAGGCATGAAATAGAGACGGGGGATGCAAAAGGAGTCACTCGCGGATTAGTAAATAATTTATTTCGGAAAGTAATTTAACTTTTCTAATTGATCATCTGCGTTCTCTCTCTCTCTCTCTCTCTCTCTCTCTCTCTCTCTCTCTCTTTCTCTCTTTCGAAATGGAAAGGGTCGAGATGTGGCAGACAGAAAGGGTGGCTCGAGGGTGTAGCTAGTCTCAGGATGAAATATCCTCGACGAAGCGCCACCACTTTGTGGTGCGAGATGAATTTCTCAGCGCGACTCTGCCTCAATCGAATAAGGTTTCAGGTTACCGCATAATTCGTCGGATTTCGGATTGTAATAAGAGCCGCGATCGAGCCTATCGCGATCTAAATGTGATAAAATATGGTGTATGCGCGTGTGTGTGAATTACTGGTTGTGTGTGGCTGATTCCGATCGAATATTCATTGGAACAATTAATACGCGCCGGTAAATTATAAATTGCTGACACGGATTACTTGTTCGCGCGATTAAAAACAAAATTCTCACTTCGCGAGAAAAGAATCGATGCGCGAACTGCATCACTTATGCACTTTTGTTTTCATCAGATCTGTTAGTTGTTAAATATTTTATATAATCAATTTTTAGACACAGTCAAATTTTATTTACGTCAAAGAGTTAACAAAATATTTATTGATTCTTGATCTAGAGAAAAGATAAAGCCAAACGTGAGAAAGTTCGTACGTGGCATTTAAATGTACGGTAGTCTTTTTTTAATAGAAAAAAGTGCTCGTTGAGATAAAAAAAAAATCGTGTCTCATTGTCGTCGCTTCGCGTTAGCTCGATTCGTTCATTAAGAGACAGAGACAGAGAGAGAGAGAGAGAGAGAGAGAGAGAGAGAGAGAGATCGCGCTGAAAGTCACTCTCGACTTTAACGCGTGTGTCCTCCAGAAAACTTTTTGAAAGTGAGAACGAAAAAAGCTCCGGAATGAACAAGAGACCGGGGAGAAGAACGTACTCTTCTACTTCTCCGTCGCGTCCTTGGGAATTGTTGTTCGGGAGAGATATTCGCTTGACGGAGGAACGTAAGAAGTGCCCGAAGAAAAGTCCTGAAGATATGGCACTCGAGAAAGAGTCACTCGAGAGATCGATACCTTCGATTCTTCGGAGAAAAAAATTCAGGGAGAGAGAGATGTATATACATATATATATAAAACTTCTTTTTAAAGCGACTCTCCGCGTCTTATTGTCGTCGCGGAAATTTTTTTCTCACGTCATTATTAATTACAAAAACTTAAGCTTATTCGGCGCGCACGTGATCGAAGTGTGTTAAAAAATATATATATATATATATTTTTTTTTTTTTTTTTTTTTATTTTACATCGCAACAATACGAGAATCAGTGTTCGCGCAAACCCGAAAGTCCGCCGCTTTGGTGCTTTATTACTTTTGAATTCCCGTGCAAACGAAAATCATGTGCGCGGAACTTCCTTTCTTCGCCGCATCTCTTCGTCGGCGCGCGAAAGAAGAAGTTCCCAGATAACCGTCGTTTCCTCGAGTCGTCGTCTCGCAGCGAGGAGAGTTTGCAGACGCGAGCGGCGGTTCGCGGCTCCCAATGGTGAAATTGGAAAAAGTTTTTCCGTTTGTGTGGATGCTTTTGCGGACACTATCAATCTCGCGGACTTTTGGTATTTCAACTCTGTTGAAACGGCAACGTACATATCCTTCTTCTTCTCCCGCTTCCTCACCTCCGGTAACTGAGGATAGGTGAACACCCCATTCCGTTGTACACTTACTTTATACAGTAACTCCGGACCGGATTTTAAATTTAAGAATGTTTAAGAACCAACGAAGTTGTAATATCGTTAGAAAATCGCCCGGCTGACTTTTTAATTTCTTTTATCGCGCGCTTCCTCTCGCGCGAAGAAAAGAAAAAGATAAAAGAAAAGAAGAGAAGAGAGCGCGATCGCGCGCGTGCGCTTCGTTTAAAATTCTTTTCTCTCTCGCGAGTATCTAAAACTCGTGGAAAAAAGAGTCGTCCGGGAAGAATATATATAGATTTCGTATATACATTTTACACATTACACGTCGGAGGTGCAAACTGTAATTAGAGTTTCATGACAAAGCGGAGTTAATTTCCCTAATGGAAAGCCGCGGGTCGAAAACTTTTGGCAACTTTATTATTTATTCGTCCCACCATTGTTCTGTCGAACTTTATTTCGTCGTCGCGCTCGTTCGAATTCACGGCGTTTGTCGTTGAATTTGATGTCCGCTCTGTAAAATCGCATCTTTACAACCCGGTTGTAAATATAAAGAGAGAAAACAAAAAAAAGAGAAATTTCTATCTTTTCTCGTTGATTCGGGGGGGAAAGAAACGAAACGCGGACGAGGTAGAGAAACGCGCGAAAAAAAAAAAAAGAGAGAACGCGCATTCTTCTTCTTGGCACTGCGGTATCTTTCGCGGTTGATGCCGGAGTCTTTACAGAAAACTGAAAAGATAGAGAAAAGCAAGAGCCGCAACGAAAGAGAGAAGAACCCCATTTTGTCTGATGCTGATTCATAGCAGTTAGGCGTGCTCTACATTATTCAGCGAAAGAGAGAAAGAGAGAACGCGGCTCATCCGTAACATATATATATGTGTGTATGTGTGTGTGTGTGTTTCTATGTAGCATCGCGCGCGACTTTAAATATGGCCGCGTCACTTTTGACTGTCAAAGCGGATATAACGCCGGCGTGCGCGGTATATGTTTCTCTTAGCGGCGTCATTTATTTGCGAAATCGAATAAAGAAGACGTACGGATATATACACGAACGGATATATACACGCGAACTTCGCGCGATTCGCAACCGTTTTAAAGGCATATAAAAAAATGTCAGACATCAATGACGCTTGTTTTTCGTTTCGAAACGAAAGACGAGAAATGCATGCGGATCGATATATATAAGACCGCGATCTGTTCTCCGACACGTCAGTAGTGACATTCCGATTGCGACAATTTCCTTTTTCCCTTCTTTTTCCTCGAACGTTCGTATCTTGGAAAGAAGCTAAAAGTGATTTGATTCTTTCAAGCACCACACCAGGCGATGAATGGCGTATGATTCGTACGAATTGCATGTGCGGAGATTGCGGATGCTGGGCACGACGAGACTAGCTCGTTTTATTCTTCCCGTGGACGAGACACGGCTTCTTCCATTTCGCGCTCGTCCTATAGCTGCTTTTCTTTCCCGTCTTATAGGATCCGGGAGCGATATGTATGTAGTGAGAGCCATCTGTCTCATTTGTTTCAGGTTCTGCCACCCTGGAAGGCCGCCAAGTCCGGGAGTATATCCTTCAAAATTCGCACAAACGAACCCAATGGACTCATCATGTACAGCCGCAGCGGGGCGCACACGAGGGTATACATATTTATTGAACAGTTGTTCGTTTTGTTTTTGTTTTTGTGTTTTTTGTTTTCATTGCAACGAAATTCTTCTCTTAGGAAAAAATTGCACGAGTTAAACGAGCGAGAAAAATTTTTAATTTAAGTTTCCGCTCTCTTCCATATAACGAAGTGAAACTGCACACATACGTAGGTGATATTCGGATTATTTATGTAAAAACGGACCACCAGCAGCAGCTTCGAATAATGAAACCAGATGCGAAAGAGAGTCGCGATTGCTTATCTCCGCCGGCCACAGAAAATGGTTTTCGACGCAACAACAAGAGACCGCTTTTGTTTTCCAAAAACTCGTCCCGACCGCGACTTCATTGCGGTTTCATTGTCGATGCGCAAATTCGCATGCGTAATAATTTCGATGTACAACAAGCGCCGAGATATCAGCGGTCGAAATTTCGTGGGTCTGAATTTCACGATTATTTTTATTTCTCGCCGCGTTCTCGTGTAATCTTACAATAATTGCTTCGTAAAATATGCTCGTTTGAATTAATACTTTTCTCAATTAAAACTGATCGGAGCGCAAAAAGTAGTTTGACAGCAGTCGCGAACTCTGTCATTTGTTGATAAGGGACAAAGGACGAGGGAGGGAAACGACCAGCGAGAGACCCTGGATTTTGTCACGATGCATCTTCATTTGTGTCTTGTTAATAACGTGTGATACGGACAACGTAAACGATAATAAATCTTCATCTGTCTATCTATCGCAAAACAGAAATTCAATAAATTCCGCGACAATAAGTCGCGCAACGTCCGAGGCGGAAGAAACGCGCGCGCGCGTGCGAAAATAGATTTAACTATTAAAATAATAATATTGTACTTGAAGCGAGAGAATTACATCTACATATGCGATATTATTGCAGCAAGATTTGTTCGCCTTCGAAATTCTCGGAGGTCATATTTATCTGCACGCCGATCTCGGAAGCGGCCCCGTTAAAGTGAGAGCGTCAAAGGCGCGCGTAGACGACGGCGTCTGGCACGATATTTCGTTGAGAAGAGTCGAGAGGGACGGTAGAGTCACCGTCGACACCTTCACAGTCGAATTTCGCACACCAGGTACATAAATCATATAGTTACTTTAAAAGTATTTTTTTGTTTTTTCATAAAAAAAAGTTATTTTTGTCCTTTTCTAAATATATTTAAAAACTGTATTTTTAACACGTACATGTGTGTTTGAATCAGCGATCGTACTTCGGTGTTTCTAATTTTGCAACAACTGTCTGTGAAAAAAAAAAAAAACTATTATCTACACACCCAATAGTTTTCGCTCTCTCGCGAAATCTGTCTGTATTTTTTTTTTCCGAGAAAGTATATTTGATGTTTTTCGAAAATATTTTCTATATAAATTTTTATATCAGCAATACACGCCGCGCCCATATATTTATGCATGTAATAGTCGTTTTTCAGAAATAACTGCCTTACACCGTACACACCGTAGAGTATCTAACGCGACACTCGGCAGATAAGTGTTCTCGAGCGTGTAACTCTGAATTATGAATGGCGCCCGGTCCCGCTGAACCTCGCCGTTTACGTCGGTGGACCGCAATGTCCAGAATTTACTCACTGACCGTGATTAAGTGATAAAGCGCTATGTATGTACGGCCGCAAACGCGACCGATACGATAAAAAGAATTTCAATTTAAGACAGCGACGGTTCATATATTTCTCCAGATAACGGTAACTTAGAGAAAGAGAGAGAGAAAGAGAGAAATGATTGCAAATGTTGTTACGGTGCTTACTGCTTTGTAAGAGTTTTTTCTCTTTCTTGCTTTGCCACGGAAAAGTCGAAACATAGTAAAATCCGATTTGCATAAACACAATAGTATTGTAGCAGTAACAAAACACAAAGATATTCTTTCATAAATTCTTATATTCAAGAGAGAGTTTATTGTTAGAAAATTTTATCGGAAGAGAGTAATATATATATATTTTTTTTATTTTTTTTATTTCTCGTGTCTTTTTCAAAATAAGTTAATTTACTCGCGATGAACAACGCGGGAGGTAAACGATGTGTGAAGCAAAATTTATTCAAGCTTAAGAATCGATTTGAACACGAATGAAAAGTGTGTAATTTTTCTCTGAAAAACAAAAAACTCAAACTACTGATTCGACATGATTTTCAATCAAACGCGTATCAATTACTTCGGTCACAGGCGATTCCACGCAATTAGACTTGGACGGCTTACTATATATCGGCGGCGTGGGCGCGCCATTCGCACCCCTAACCGTTCCGCCTGTTTTGTGGACGGGTGCCCTTCGTCAAGGCTACGTGGGTTGCATGCGGGATCTCGTAATTAATGGACACCCAGTGGACATCGCGGGATACGCACATCAGCAGGATTCTGGTAAGCGGACCGCATTAATCTTCGCGTTTGTACTCGTAAAACGTTTTAAAACAAAAATATTTCTTCCAAGTAAGCGTAATTATTAGCAACAAAGTAACAGTTTTTGTTACGTCGTAATTAATAATTATTGCTCCGCGACAGAAAATGTGAATATGAATTGAAAGAAAAGCTAATTGTTATCACCTTTAAGTTGAAATTGTAATTAGATAAATTATAATCGATTAATATTTCACTGATCCAATTGCACGGAGCACATATGTATTTGTAATTTTTTTAATAGAAAGAATTTTTTCACGTTTTTAGTGAGAAAAAAATTTCACGCTGCGGACAGGATTCGAACCTGTGCGGGCAGAGCCCATCAGATTTCGAGTCTGACTCCTTAACCACTCGGACACCGCAGCTCGCGTATCCTCCCTCTTTTCTCACTGACTTCCTAGAAGTCACCCCGGGTCTTTTCTCTCAGTTTATCGTGTGTTTAATAAGAGTAATGAATATCGCGAACTTTAATTTCAAATGTTTTTATTGTTAGATATATATATATAATTTTTTTTACGTGAAAATATAAAAAAAACTTGTAGTTTATATGAAGACAGTAAATAAATATGAGATGTGTTGCGAGAAAAAGATGTTTAAAACATAAATATACATGTGTTTCAAAAAACAACGATAAAAATATATTTGTTATAAATATTGTATAACGATATATTTCTATTACTACGAATAACAAATTTTTTTTGCGCGATAGTGGAGTGTTTTACTTTCTTATATATCGATTCAAACGAGAGAGTTTTCAATATTTTTCAATATTATATATCTCTCTCTCTTCGCTCATGCATTTTGCAGGTGCGGTCAGACCTGCATGCCCCATTCAACCTGCGCATTGCCCTTCGCAGCCGTGCATGCACGGGGGTCATTGTATCGAAGGGTGGAATCGATTTCATTGCGATTGCACCGGTACCTCTTTTACCGGACCTACTTGTGGCAAAGGTAAAAACATGCGATATGGTTAATTGCGTAAAATATAAGTTTGAGAAGCGCGAGTTTTTCAAGGAAAAATCAGTATTTCTTTTTTAACTGTTAATACGTTTTAAAGAAAAACGTGTGATACAAATTATTTCGCGTTTGTTTATAGAATAAAAATTGTAGATATTGTTCGTACAGCAGCAGCAGAGTAATATTATTACGTTCGTTAGAATAAAAACTTTGTGTACTTTAATACACGTAACAAGTCGAGTTACATGTGTATTTTTTTTTTTTTTTTTTCTATCGCAGACGCGTCGACGTTGCATCTGAACGGCACGCAGCAGATGTCGGCGCTGATGCCGGAGGATTCCAGAACGCAGGCGGAAGAAATTGTCGTGCGATTCAAAACGACGAGGCCGCGCGGTCTTCTGTTGGCGACGAATTTGGATAACTCTCCCGATCGTTTGGAGATTTATCTGGAAGAGGGCAAGGCGCACATGCTGATTCACATCGGCGATCGAGAAAAGGTATAATAACGCGATTTTATTAAAAAAAAACTTGTCTCTTTCACACTATCGGCAAGAATACGCGCGAACCATCCCAATTTAATTTCGAATATCGCGCTAAGTCTAACGCTATTTTATTTTAATTCTTTTTTTTTTTATTTATGTCACTTCTTAAGAACGAACGCGGAAGATGGAGTTTTTGTATTTGAACAATTTCGTTTCGCATGTTAATCTCGCGCGTTCTGTTTGAAGTTAAATGCCATTTATAAGATATATATGTCGCAAATAAGGAAGCGCCGCCGTCGAAAGGGCGAGATATTGAATTTAGCTTGGACAAATTCAATCCACTTAACGTCAACGGAGCGCCCGACTCGTATAAGGACCCGCGTAAGTCCGCGAGGATTTATATTCCCAAAGCATCTTCGACGTGAAGAGAGAGCGTAGATCGTTCTCTCTCTCTCCCTATCTCTCTCTCGCGTTGCGAAGACTACGTCGTCGTGACGTTAACTTAATACGTCACCCGCGGCAGCGTTCCACGTAAATGGCTGGTGGCTTTCTCATCTTCTCCCGTGTAACGGGAATATTCTTTCCGACGGGAACGTCGGATGCAAAACGGTGTAAATACTTTGGACAATTCGCGTTCTCGGATCGACGTGTTTTCTCGTCTCGCTGTTGTTAACTTTTTTTCTTTGCAAAAAAGACCGAAAAGAGGATTTTTAACAGATCGTCGCTTAATTGTCGAACAATTGGAAAGAGTCTCCTTCCCCCGCGTCACGAAGTAACGAAAAGCGCGCCGCTCGTTCGGACGCTTTTTTCCACGTGAAATCGAACGCGTTTCCGAACGCGTCTGGATCTTCGTTCATGCGGAATCTCAAACACACGCTATTTCTTCCCGTGCCTTTGCGCGCACGTGAAAATACACAAGCGATTCTTTCTATCGCAACATTTCCGGTCGAAAGAGCGGTAAATCGCAGACGATTCGATTTCGCAGCAATTTCACTTAGATGTACTAAATAAATATATACATATATGTGTTTTTTACATTCCTCCCTCTTTTCGTCCTCCTCTCTCTTTTGTATTTGTATTAACTTTTACGAGCGCGCGCATTCGATTCTGATATACGCTTGTTGTCACAACTTTTGTCTAATTGGTAACCTCGTAATTTCAAAACCAAATATATAAACAAGTCCGCATACATCATTCATTTAACCGCAATCACAATTGTTGGTAAGTTTAGACGCAATTAGTTACGAAGAGCGGTAATTCGTCGCGGGCGCGCGCGCACGCCCAGCAATGTTATTGCGGTTATGAAACTCCTCTCCTTCAGATATTGCGTTAAGCGACTGTACCCTGAATTAACAATCTTAGGTCGAAGTCATTTGAGACTCTCGCACAAGCGAGTGCGAGGAGAAAACCGACGTATCGCGGTTATGCGGAGCAAAATACGCAAACACGAACACATAAGCGGCGCGCGAACACGTACAAGGCGATGATTCACGGTAATGTTTCAATCTCTGTACGTACAAGATTCGTTAATTAGACGGAATAATTGATACGATAATGCGGCATCGCCAGATACCCCGGTCTCTCCCGACCAATTTCCGCGAGAATTTCTGCAAAGTTCGCGACGAACAAGATTTCTATCCGCGTTGGCTTCCGATCGCGAGCTTGTCCGAAATTTTCAACAATCGATTAAATGTCCTCGGGACATTCGAAGAACGAAAGAACTTGCGCACAAAAGTGGAAGAAATTGTAAATAAATAAAAAAAAAGTGCGTTGGACAAAGTTAAAAAAAAGAAAAAAAACAGGTTTCCTACGTTATTGGAAAAGATGCGTGAACTTGCGGTCAGACGACGAGAAATGCAGAAAATGCGTTTAGCGATTGTTGATATGCGCGTATCGCGCAACAGACGCCGGCATTTGCAATAATACCGACAATAACAATGACGCACAGATGGCATTAGATGACAAACGTGCGTCAGATGTTACACGACGCGCGATATCGTACGTCGCGACAAGGACTGTGTCAGATAGTGACGAGTTGCTCGGATTTATGAGATTTGACCGAATGACAGCCCTATCTCGTACATCGCGAAGTTCATGTATTCCACGTGGTGGTTTATCGATAAATCGAAGACGGGGGGATGACACATTTGTCGTTCGTCGGAATGAAATTTTTACATCTCAAATAGATTAAAAAGAGTTAAGATTATTTTTTTTTTCAAATATATATACACTAAATATGTTGTGTGAAAGAGAAAACTTTTATAAAAAAACAAAAATGTTATCTGTATGTAAAAATAAGACTTTTTTTACAAAAAGAGGATGCGATAAAATATGTTTTTTTTTATCGATAAAGAGATTTTCATTTAAAAAAATCAAACAAGATACAATAATCGTAATTTTGATTTCAGTTAATAGTAGCCGGACAGGGTCTCAACGATGACATGTGGCACACACTGAGATTCTCCAGACGATCCACCATACTCAAGCTTCAAATCGACAATGAACCAGCAGTACGAGGTACGTACGTGTTTAGCTTGAAGTAACGACGTTACGCAACAGAGAGAATGAGTGCGCAACAATATATTTAGAAGTTATCAAAAGTTATGTACTTTATCGGAGTTTTTACACGCGATTATTTATTTGCGATCAAATATCATTTTTTATTGCACAATATTTTATCAATTTTTATTACGCGTGTATTCTTTTTTTTACGTTGCATATAAAAAACGCGCATTTTTTTCTACAAAGATAAAATAACCGTAACCGTGAACGTCTCATTTAATCGATCGAAAAGTTCGAATTGAATTAAAACAAAACAAACAGCGTTTGCGCATCTCAATTACCTGTTTATACGAGATTGTCCTTTGTTGTCCTTTGTTGCGAGTTAGAAATAATATTTATACGCGCCTCTCTCTCTCTCCGCGTAAAATTGCGCGCGCATTAATTACACACATTAGTATACATGATGTGACGAAGTGGTTGGGGGAAAAAAAAAAAAGAAAAAAAAAATAAAAAGCAAAAGAAAGAAAAAAAACCGATGGAAAATTTAAATATCAGACGCAAACTACATTATTAATGCGGTCTTGGAACGAGATGCTGCGGAACGTGCAAAGTGCAGCAAATTGTATGTCGGTACCAGATGCAGAACAGTTGATTGGTTTCGTACAGCAGCGGTGCAGGCGGCGACGTCATCGATCGCAAAATGCAAGGGACAGTCGGAAGAAAACGACAATGCTATTTCAGAATATTGATAATAGAGAGAGAGAGAGAGAGAGAGAGAGAAAAAAAAAGAACGACGAAACAAAAAAAAACAGAGAAAAAAGTTTCAAAAGTGCATTGCAGTTCTTTATGATAAGGAAGGATTGTTATGTTAAAACACAAAGATGGAGAACGCGGGGCAAGATAAAGTTTTAATTTGTTCCGTATCATTAAATGTTTTGCTTTTATCGCGAGCAACGCGTTGAGATGACGTGCATTTTAAGTGAAAATAAGTAATTCCCTCGCCTTGGACAAACGGAGCGCTCCGAAAATCAATTTTTCTTTTTTTTTTATCGCCAAAGCAAAGAAGCGGGTGGAAGGGGGGAGGGTGACAAGAATCGATAAAAGTGCGCGGCGGATTGTTTTAACCGATGAGTTTTAAATTCGCGCACACACGTCGGAAGTCGTTTGAGCGGTAAGTTTTCTTGTCACACATCGGGAAGCACTTTGCACGTCGTATCGATTGCGCCTCGGCTCTGGCCGAGAATCCTTATACACATTGTATGCACGCGCACGTTCGAACTTCTCGGCGCGCGAGAGACGTTCTCGCGAGAACGCGTAATATCGTATTTCACAAAATCCCTATTTAACATAAATATCTCGCAGAGGCTTCGGAAAATTTCGCGTCTCAAAAGTTCTCGTGTCTCGTGAAAAAGAAAAATCAAGAAAAGTAAAAACACACGCGTTGTTAATATGTCGCGCGAGAAAATGCGCAAAGAGACAAAGACGAAACAAATATATACCAGAAGGATCTTCAATCCTTCCTTCCGTTTCTTCTGATAATGTTGCTTCACTTTCTTACATCTGTTTGTTTTATCGAGCGACATCTTTCGAAAATTTCCTTCCCGTCCTGGCGCAAAGTTATTTTTTCCAATCGCGCTCGAAACCAAGACCGTCGATTTTTCACTGTTTACGCCCGCGATTCGTTGGTGGTCACATATTATTTACGAGCGTTAGATATCGGGAGAGAGAGCCTAGGTAGGCGGTCCCATCGATTTCCCGACATCCGGCGGACGGATTACAAATCGCGGGCATGCAAATGCGGTTTTTATCAAACACAACTCCTCGAAATGCTCTTCGCGCCGCCGTCGCCGGTTCTGGGAAAAGTGCAATCCTGAATTGGCGATGAAGCCAGGCACACGTACGCGGCGCATCCACGGGCGGCACTTTTCGCGGCGCTTCGAGTATAAAGTAAATTATAACCGGCGCGATATTCCATTTGCGGTAAATGCTTCGCGAAAATTTCTTTGACGCGCGATTTGTGTAAAAAAAAACAAAAACAAAAAATATAATAATCAATATTTAAATAGAAAAATCGCGAGTATTAATAAAAAGTGCGAATAGCGTTTTATACTTGTAATAACTTTTTTTTTTTTGTTTTTTATTCTCTCTCTCATATCAAAAACAGATGATATTTCTATCGAATCAAATGCTGCAATTGAGCGTATATCGGTTATATCGGTCTTTTATATAATCGCGATACAATTCGCACGTTTTTGCTTTCAACAAACCAGCAGTTCGATACCGGTCTTCTCTACGTGTATCATGTACCGGTTAACGTGAAACAGCCACCCACGCAAAACTGTCTTTCGACTCGCCCTATTAAACGGCAAGCGCCCGGCGCAATATTGAATTAGTTACCAATAGCCTAAATTGCAGGAGCGCCTGTACAGGCCTTTGCCTCGGTGCAATCGATCCCCGAGACATGGATAATTGTTCGCATAGCGAGAAACGCTAGTTTCCAACGTAGTTTAACTTTGTTTGGATGATAAATTCTCTCGATATCTACCAACTTCTCTCGCGAACGTTTTAAAGAGCGGTCTTTAATTTAATTTCAATCGCAATTAATATATTCACACGGGGGCGTTGTTTATTAACGCCCGTCTGAATGTTTGTATATATTATATTAATTTAAGAATTATAATCCTTGAAACTGTGAGACGAACTCTCTGTGTTTTTGTTGTTGCGTCGAAATGCAGAGGAGACGCAGCTGGGAAAGCAGGGCATTTTGGAATTTCGCACTCTTCACGTGGGCGGATATCTACACGCGAACGAGGACATACCGCACTTCGTGGGTCAATTGCAGCAGATCTGGTTCAACGGATATCCGTATTTGGAGATCGCTCGCAGCGCTGGCAATCATCAGACCTCGCATCAAGGCGTAACGCCCATCATCAGAGTAACCGGCAAATTCGGGAAGAGAAACCATCCGGTTCATCATCCGGTTACCTTCACGTCCAAACACACGTTCGTCGGGCTTCCGGTGCTCAAGGCATACGTGGAAACCAATATCTACTTTCAGGTAGAGCGGAAACCGATTTCCCTAAATCCCGGATTTTTGATCCGGTGCATGTTGAAAAATAGTTTCGTCAAAATTGCAAAAAACTCGTCTCACACGTCGGTCTCTTGTTTTTTTTTTTTCTCTTTTTCAGTTCAAAACGCGCGAAGCGAACGGCCTGATTCTTTACAACGGCGGGAGAGAGCACGACTTCATTGCGATCGAGTTGGTTAGCGGACACGTGCACTACACATTCGACCTGGGCGACGGACCCGTCAGGATCAGAGACACGTCCAAGTTGAAATTAAACGACGGCAAATGGCACGCCGTCAGCATCGGCAGACCCGCTCCGAAGAGGCACACCCTCGCTGTGGACGATCACGTGACCGCCGTCAACAGCCAGGGCAGTAACGAGAATCTCGATCTCGATGGAATTTTGTACATAGGTGAGTGTGGGAGGATGGAGAGACTAGGGAATATATAGAAATACACACACGCTGAGAAAAAAAAAAAACGCGAGTTATTCGCAGAAGAACGTGATTGCCGAGAATTCAGTTCATTGTTTAACAGCGCTGTGACACGTTTTCGTTAGCTTGCGCGCGCGAACATTCCTTGAAAATATATTGCCCCCTCCTCCCCTCTCTCTAACATTTCATTAATTCAACATTACACGTGTCACATTTCGTAGTTATATGAAAATCTGAGCGCCGCGTATAGTTTCCTTTATTTAACGCGCCCGTAATTGCGTGTGGCAGTACAATTAATTAGGATTCCGTTCGACAATTTCACCCACGGAGATATTATTACAATAAAATAACACAGCGTGTGCCCGATATTAATTTAATTTAATTAGCCAGTCATAATTTACATCTGCAATCCGTTTATTGTATAAGTTAAACACGTAATTTATGTATTGGATTCTTAATTAGTTTAATGAATTATTAATCATAGTTTATACCGTAGCTTATCGTATTTGTTTTGTCAAAATCTATTTGAAAACTTTGAATCGAAAGGAGAGAGAAATAGGAAACGTTTACTGTTTTGTGCGATGATCATCGCGTGGATCTTCATCTTCACGCAGGACGCACATTTGTCAGCTCCTTTCGTCTTTTACGTTACTCTCTGTGAAGAAACAATTGCGTTTATGTAGCGCACAGATTGAAACGTACTTCGGGGTTTTTTGCAAAATCAGATAATCGTTAAGCAAAAATAACAACTCACAGTCGCTCTCTGCATATGTTATTCGAGTCCGGTGCGTATCCGTCGGCACAGTGTATGGGCGGATCGATAATGTTCCTTGATTCGAATGACGGATTTCCTTTGTTTTTCTCAACGTCAACACGATTTCCTGAGTCGGGAGTTTTCGTTATTTTGTAGTCGGTCGTGGACGGTTTCTTCGCCGCGATTTCTCTAATCGATTCATGATAAAAAAAAAAAAAAACAATCGTATAAAATTTACAGATTGTTATGACACATCGATTCGGGCATTTGCGAAGCGAACACACCGTGCGTTTGAGAGCATGAGGTGAATGTCGCAATGGCCGAACGTTTTATTAAAAAAAAATTATTATTAAATTAATTATTAAATTATTTTATTAATTATATTAAATTATCAAATTATGTTTGCTAAAGAAATTAATTATTGGATGTAAATAATTAATTGTAACAATTCTCAATGTTTTAAATATTTTTTAAGATATTTTCTAGAGATGTATTTTTCATTGTTTTAGTTTTTAACTTTACAAATATTTTGTCAATAATTTATTTCTTTAATAAATGACTGACCGACCGGGTCGGCATCACAATTATTCTAAATGAATTTTTTAACTGTTGTTAAAAATATTGTTCTTCACACAAATCGTCACGCTACAATGGTTTGCTAACGTCATTGTTTATTATACGTACTCGTAATGTTGGTTCGAGTATTTATACTCGTTGCTGTACGCCCAGTTCTGGTCCGGCGAAACGTGACCTTTCAGCATGTAGATTTGCACTTGCGGCGCTTTCAATGCGGGATTATGCACCGTTCTCCACGCGTTCGTTACATCTTGCCAAGTAGTGCTCATTGGCGAAAGCCGCACAATCAACAATCCTTGCGTTCGACGGATCGGTTGCCATGTCGGGAAACAGCGAACCAACGATATCAGCATGGTGTAAAAGAGAAAATCGCATAGACGCATGATGATTGTTGATTCTTTTTTTTTTTTTTTTTTTTCCGACTGATCGATCAAAACACTCTCGTGTGTTAATCTCTCTCGTGATTTTGCCACGCGCTTCGTCACTGGTTTTTACGTCTCGTTATCGCACGCGTACAACTCGAACACTTTTGTTTGTCACGTAAGAGGAAAACACAAATTATTGACGATCTTGAACAAAATAACGCACTTAGAACGCGCGTTTCGATTTCGTGTGTATTTTCGATGATGGCGTATACACGACTGTTTGAAGCGCGATATCATCAGCCGCTTCTATAAGTCCGGCAAAGCCGACATATCCGGTTGTTCGGCCGCAGCGCGCGCGACCGCAAATATAAGATTAAATTTTGTAAGAGGTCGGTCGAGCTTATTGCGGCGATTAATGCGATTTAGTGACAGTTCGATAAGTATATGCCGTGATAAACGATATAATTGATAAGAGCGAGTTGGGATTTCATTCGTTGAAAGCGCGACACGCTTTCACAATTAGATGTGGATTAATTCGCTTCCTCTCTCTCTCTCTCTCTCTCTCTCTCTCTCTCTCTCTCTCTCTCTCTCTCTCTTTCATTGTGCATTATCAGTAATTTATTAGTTCAGATTTAATTAGTCTTACGACTTTACGGAATTATCCGATTTTTGTTCCTCAAACATTACACAAAGATTACAACCAAATTAATTGATAATTAATTGCACAAAGATGTTTTAATTGTGTTTACATTTTGTTAATATATTTGGATTTGAATTTGTTCTTTTTTAATTATGTAACTCTTTTTTCACAGCACGTAACTTTTTAATATACATCTTTGGTGACGTAATGGTTTTTTCTTTGCGCTTCAAACCGTACGGTCAATTCGAAGGCCGGAACATGAATTGCGCGAAGACGTCGCGGGACGATTAAAATTTTTTTCTTATCTCTACGTAAGCGTGTGGAGAATAGTTTTCGCACGGACAACAATTATATCAACGCGATTAAAAGATACTGCTGGTGTGAGGAATATTGATCGATTTTATCTTTGTAATTCACGTAGGAGAATCTATTCCAGCTATCTGCCGGTTATTTTGTTATCTATGAAATTGCGCTTACGCAAGACAGCGTCGCAGTTAGAACGGAAGAGGTAATGATTCATTAATTGACGTTTCTAACAGCTTGTTTGGTAATTTCGCGCCCACATCTTTGTGGATGCTTCCACGCAAGTGACGCAAATGTCGTTGGGAAGAGTTTATACGACATTTTAATTTTTACGACGCTTTTCGAATTTTGACGCAGATGGGTCGACGATTAATTTACGCAAATAATAAAATTACGTCAGTCGCGCCCGTCAGACGGCATGGCGAAAGAACAACGACAATGACGATATTTGCATTTCTAATTGCGTCGGTACGCTGTATCAAATTCGACGTGCGTGTAGATATGTACATACATTGTATATCTGACGACACGATCTGAAATTCAGAATTAGCATTGCGCTATGAATCACCGTTGATTAGGTTTCCCCCCCCCCATCGCGGTCCTATCGGTTTCCGCCGCTAGTAATTCGTTAATAAATTTATCGGCCATCCCCCGGTCAATGCCGGGCATAAATTAGCAAATCTGTCGGCAATTATTCTTCAATTGCGTGTGTAAATTCGCGCGGGATCGGGGTACAACGGATCTTCTTCTCCGCGTGCTTACCGAATCCCCGCGCGAATGAGTTCGCGAATAACGGGCCGAAAATCTTTCTCGCGCTTCTTCTCGCGATCGATTTCGACGCGTCGTTTTTCTTCGAAATTATTATTGTCTCGTAATAAGATATTATTTTTTGTTTTCAATGTGTTTTTTTTCTTTTCCTCGCAATTTGTGGTCTCTCTCGGTGATCAAGTGCGAATGAAAATGAGAGATTGAGTCTGCGGCGCGCGTTTCGGAGCACTTCGTGTACATACGCGCCCAAGTGATTTAATGTGCGACCGACACGGATGACTTGTGAGATTTTCGTAAGCGTGTAATCTCGCAGAATTTGCGGCCGGGATCGATCTGCGTACGGACGCGCGCAATCCCGTCTCGAGCAGACGTCGCGCGCGACTGCGAGAGTTGGCGAGAGATAATTTTAATTTAACCAGCTTCTATTGTTTCATCGCAAAACGAAGATCTCTCTCTTTCTCTCTCTCTCCGTCCCTCTTTCCTTTTCTCCTCAGAATAAGAATGTTTTTAATAAATAATGAAAATTGTATTCTATTTATTTTTATTGTCGGTCATTCGGTCCTCGAACGCATGTCTGTGTACAAATAAATCAACAACATTTCAATCGATAATTAGACATTTTTGAGATGTCCCTCTCTTTCCGTTTTTTCGAAACAAAAATATAACACACACCTCAGATAACATTTTCAATAATGTTCCACGGAGGAATATTAAAAAGCGAATGAGAAATGGACGTGTTCTTTATTTCAGGCGGAGTTGAAAAGACGCAGTACGGCCAATTACCAAAGGAGATAATGAGCCGTCACGGATTCGAGGGATGTCTGGCGTCATTGGATCTTAGCGGTGAGAGCACCGATCTTATTAGCGACGCCGTGGTGCCGAGCGCGCTCGTCATTACCGGATGTGATGTTTTCACCAACGTACATCCGGGAAAGAAGTGCACGCACGATCTCTGCGCGAATCACGGCACGTGCGTGCAGCAGTGGAACAGCTACACGTGCGATTGCGACATGACGAGTTTCACCGGACCGACTTGCAACGATGGTAATGAAAAAAAAAAAAAAAAAAAAAAAGAGATGCAAATAATACACACTGTGCATTTTTTTTCTTCATCTATTGTTTCCCTTATCTCCATCAAAATTTCACGTTTATTTATTTAAACGCCGCGGTTGAAATTTTATATATTGTACAAATTTTTTGTTTGGTTTTACACGTCAATTAATATTTGCACAAGTATATACAAACTACTTACTGTGCTCGTTTATCAGCAAAAAAAATATTGTTTGTTAACAAACAACAAATGCTCAATTTCGCTGTTTGCGTCGAGTTCCGCGCATAATAACGGAATTATCTATAACGAAGTTAAGCGAAGTTGAAGCTGTGTTTATTGGATAACCTTGTAACGCGTTGCAGACGCATTGCAATAGTGTGAAACTATTTCACAGTACCGGACGAAGCTAGAACAATTTTTTTTTTTGTTTTTATTTTAGAAAGTTCACCGCGATAATATCGAAAAGCCGGAGCTACTACGTCATTTTTAATGTCGGAAATGTGTGTTTCTGTCCTCCACAGAGGCTGTCGCTTACGAGTTCGGACCCGGCAGAGGAATAATTACGTACACGTATCCAGCCGATCGTCGACCGGAAATGAAAAGGGACACTGTGGCTTTGGGTTTCGTCACCGGAGTCAGCGATGCCGTGCTACTTAGAATAGAATCCGCGTCGAGCAATGATTATCTCGAGATTGAAATTGTTAGTAAACAGATGCAAACTGAGTAACCGTATATCCAAGTAATTGAGGAACTAACGTGCAATTGTGCGCCAAAATAGAGATACATACGTAGATTCAATTTCTTGCACACAAAAGCACTTTTTTTTTTAATCAGTGTTACATACATTCAATTAAATTTACGTTTACGAAAACGCGATAAATTTTGAAAGTGATAGACCGAAAAAAATTAAAAACACGCATACATCACGTGCTTCTGTTAAATAAAAAAAAAAGAGAGAAAAGTCACGCCGTGTGTGTGACGCATAAATCTCGAAAGTTATTAAATGTTGCGCCGCGGCAATACAGACGGCAGTAATATTATTCATTTATGTCGCAGGTGGAAGGCAACGTGTTCGCGGTTTACAACATGGGCACCAACGACCATCCAATCGGCGAAGTCGGCGTAAAAGTTAACGACAACCAGTATCACGTAGTTAGATTTACCAGGACGGGACCGAACAGCACGTTACAGGTCGACGACTACAATCTGCAGTCCAATCATCCATCCGGTAAGCACCGCGCGCACACATTGTGTATGTGTGTGTATGTGTGTGTTACGCCATTGTGTGTTATCAAAGAAAATAATATTATAGGTGCCCGTCACAAATATATCTTTGTTTAGTTTTTTTTATTGCCCCTATTGTAAGTTATCGATGTAATGATATCTGTCGTTAAAAGTTTTTTTTTTTTATTACGCGCGCGATAAGAGACCGTTATCTTTATCTGCGAGATGTTCGCGTTCACACTTTTGAGACCTCTGTTTTCCGAACGCTGTTGTATATCTACTTCACGATATACGTCGAGCACCTTAATCGCGCGTATCTTTTTATAGATTTGCTACACGTTTAATGACACATCGAGCGTGTGCGTACGTCTTTCGACGCGTTGTTTATCGACGTGTCGAATGAAAATTTAATATCACGTCGATTTATTTTATTAACAGCGTCATCTTCCGATTTACGTTTCCTCGTTCGACTCGGTCGTGATACCACGAGAGAGAGGAGAATTGGACAAAACTCGCGCGTAAATAAGAATTGTGAAAAAAAAAAAAAAAAAAAACTAAGAAATATTGTACGAGATCGTGCGCATTTGATCGCGCGGAAACGATCCGGACGCTTCGGGATCCGGCGGCAGACTGCGACGAGGGTTCCGACGAGATTCTCTTTTATGGTGGTGTCGATCGTTGACCCATCGTTCTCACCATGGGAAACGACCTTGATCGGCCATTCACAAGACTGAGCTATTGTCTCAAGGTTTTTTTTCCTGCACAGATAAAGACCTCTGACACGCTCTCACAGAAAGTTATCTCGTGTGTGTGTGTGTGTGTGTGTGTGTAACTCACCGAGATAAATATTGAGAAGGATCATATTTTCACGAAGTCACAATTGCTCGAAATTACACTTCGCGAAGGTGTTAGACGTAAAAATCTTCGCGAATTAACTATGCAATAAAGTTCTCTTCTCGCTACATGATGTCGTGAGAGAGTATCAATATTTCGTTTTATTATCTGGCGTGTTGTTTGATAACGAACAAACGAGCTGATGTCACATCGTGAGAAATTAATCTTAAATTAGAATTTATACTTCGTCGTGAACGTCGCGCTATGTACAATCTATAAATTTTAGATTCTAATTAAAATAACCTGGATAGAATTCTAAAATATGCGTATTTTATTTTTTTATTTCTCGCAAGTTCGTCCGAGAGAAAGAGACAAAGAAAGAGAGAGAGAGAGAGAGAGAGAGAGAGAGAGAGAGAGAGAGAGAGAGAGAGAGAGAGAGAGAGAGAGAGAGAGAGAGAGAGAGAGAGAGAGAGAGACACAGATGTACGGAAGAAAATTAATTAAAATAAACGCGAACATTGCAACGCAGCAAAATGCGATCGATCTCGGATAATGTAAATTAATTTGAAGAGACGCGTTTTGCGAAAAGAGAAGAGAATGTTTGCGGTGAGCATCATGTATTTAATTAGTAAATGACAAAGCGGTATTCCTATTTTCCGTGTACAATTAATTTTATAATGTCACCCGTATATCACCGTAGAAATTGCATTTGTTGGCCCTGTGGGAGGGAGGGGGGAGAGGAGAGGAGGGGGAAGCGCGCGTTAATATAATTAAGTGCCTCGCTTAACTTAATTACATTACTCTCAAATATTGTTTATATCCTATTATATAATAGACTCACACTCCCTATGTAATTTAAACTTTCGACTCTTTCGCTTTACACGCAAATTACAAATTAATATGATGTCAAAATTTTCCGCGTGTTTTTTTCTTTTCACTACTTTTGTAAATATGTAGATTTCTGAGTGTGTGTATTTTTTTCTCTCTCTCTCTCTATTTCTCTTGTTTTTCTCTTCAGTCCGAACAAAATTTAAATATTTTATCAGGTGGATAATAAAATTTATAATATTTAAAATTCAAATATTTTATTAATTAAATAAATAATATTGCATTGATGCACTTACTAAGTATTTTTACGGCGGTCGGATTAAGATTTTCATAATCGATCATCACATTTTCTCACTTAGATTTATTTCGCCGTGTAATATCAGATGGTGGCGCTCGTACATTCACGCACTGATATTAATTACGCGATGCGGCGCATATTGCACATAATGTACTACGTTGCACTCGTTTTCCCGAAATTTATTGTCGACTAATGCGCGATGCATTTTCATATGTGGGCGAGCTCTTCGGTCCCGCGAGTGTCATTTACGCACTGCGAAATGTCCGCAAACGCGCTCATAATAATACACGCTTAAAATTCTGACGAATATATTTCGCCCGAATCTTCCACTCTTCGCAACGCGATAAGTAACGTAATTAATTAAAACCCGGACGTGTGTAAGCGCACACACGTTTCGCGATAACTTTCTGACTCATTTTTAATAAAAACTCGTCGTAGTCTTTTTATTCGTCAAGACCGTGAGTAAATTTGAGAAGAGAAAACGTTTTAAAAAAATTTATCGCGAAACAATTAATTCACCAATTAATTCCGAATAACGTCTATGTAAAGTAGTTCGCTTTAGAAAAGCTCCCGTTAGAAGAGACTCGAGTTTAGGCAAATGACGTAAACCTCAGCGGCAGCGTCTTCCGAGATTCGCGCATTTTTATTGTTTTCGATTCTTGCAAAAATTCTCGCGGAAATAGCTTTTTCGTGAGTGATGCGCTCGCCCCGTGCGATCCTCCCTTGTGCGTGGGTCTCACACGAGCCGCAACGAGAGAGGAGAATCCTCTTTGTAGTTTCTGCTGCTCTGCTTCATATGCAGAAGGTCGACGGAAGGCTTCTTGCTCCTTGCGTCCGCACGTGCATTCTCTCTCACGCGAATAATCCGACGTGGTTGGCTTGTTGAAACAATAACCGGGGGAAGTATTTCAGATTATCAACACGTCGAGGGATACGCATCTACAACGCCTAGTGAACCAGAGAGATTAGACCAGTTCCAAAGGGACGTTCGATAAGTTAGCGATATCGATCGATCGGAGAGAGCGCGAGCTCCGAAAAGTGTATACTGTCGTGTTTTAATTCTCACGCTGTGATTTTCACATATTTCGAATATACGAGCTTTCGTTACGCTCGTTGATCTTCGTCAAGCCCGCGTGTTTCTTCTTCTAGATCTCTGACGTCCTAATACTTGATCGACGGAATTTGACCATGGGCGAGAATCGTTCTCACGCTTTAAAGCGGAAGATCGCGCGCGGCGTCCTCGACCGACGAGCCCGTCCTTCGATTCACGGCCCGCCGAGAAGGGTCGTGAGAGGGTTCGAACCTTCGAGACCTCCTTCGCGATTTTCCCTTCGCGCGCTACGGTATATAGACGAAGACCTTTGAACCCGTAGAATTTTCTGTCGATAATTCTGAGCGCAGGGAGCAGAGCCGGGATTCCCGCTGAGAGTGTCACGCAAAAATAATCACCCTTCTCCACCGCGTATCAAAGATACTCGAAAATTCTTTTCTCGGAGAAAAGAGACAACTGTCGAAAGATTTTTGCAATCTTTTCAATAGTGTTCTCTCCGACTTTGAATTTTTTTTCTTATTATTTTAGAACAACAATAGGAGAAAAGTCTTCTCTCCCTGCTTTCTGATTTTTGTTTAAATGTCTTTGCACAAAAGCGCGTTCTGTATATTCCGGGCGAGTTTTCTCCGACAACAATCCGAGGAGTGTCAAAGTTCTCGGAAGATGGATCTTTCTCCCTATATATATATATATATATTTTTTTTTTTCACAGAAAGTCTCGCCCGTTAGGCTCGTGAGAATCGAAGGACGAGTCCCACGGGCGTGAGAAACCAGCTTCGAAGAGAGATCGAATCTTCTCAGGCTTACTAGGGAATCATTCGATGCTAAGGAGCTTCTTCGGAGCGCAAGCGAGACGGTTATTAAAGAAATCCGATTAATTACATTGTTGTTGCACGCAAAGAAAATTTTTTAGCGAGAATTTATTTGTTCTTAAAATTCTTCTCAAAATACTTTGCGCGTAATTTCAACGCACAAGAATCAAATTATTGTTTTATTACATATGTATATATACATATATATATATATATAATACACAAAGCACTTGTGTATTTTCGTTTCTCTCTCGATCGAGGGCATTTAAAATTGCGCGTCCCCCTATTTGACTTGACCATCGATTGCTCCATCGCGGACTTTGGAGGATAGGAAGATGATGAATGAATGACTGAATGAAAAGCACTCGGGAGCACTCCCTCGACTCACTTGCTGGGTTCTCATGATATCCTAGTATCAGAAGCGCCATGTGCCCTCATAGTTTTCCCACGAGCTCTCTCGGAGTTCTCACGCGACCGACTTCTTTCCTACCACGTGTGTCGCCGTGTATGGCCATGTAAAAAAGAAACGGAAGAACAAGAAGAAGAAGAAGAAGAAGAACGAGAAAGTGAGAGAAGGAGGAGAAAGAAAGAGAGAGACAGACAGAGGGGAGGAGGAGAAAGTGAGCAAGCTGGAGGAGGTCGAGGGTAAAAATAGTAAATGAGCCGATCGATCACACGCAAGACGCACGATCTCACATACGTACGCGCACGATTTCTTTTATGCGCCGTCCAGAGAACGAAAGTTTCTCATTCTCTGGAGAAACGTGGCGAACTCACGTAATATCCGCTTTAATTTATTAAACAATTTATAATTTTTTACTCTGGTTTTCTTTTTTTTTTTTGAAACGCAATCACGTGTATCCGCGAGATACAGAAACTCAATATAAAATTTAATTTAAACAATAATGAAAAAGTACTGCATATCTCGTTAAATCCCAGAAAGAGAGAGAGACATGTATATATATATATATTTCCTAAGGGTGGATAAAATCCCGACGGTCGCGAGTTCATCGTGTTATCGCATTCCTCGAGGAATTTTCCCACGGTATGATCTCGTGAGAACAATTTAATTGACTTAAGAAACCAGCTCTCTGTCCCAGGATACTGTTTTGTCTTCCTCCCACCACATTGTCTTTCTTTTTCGTCTTCCCTCTGATGAGCACTGGTCACTTGGAGCCATTTAAGTCTCTAAGTCGAAGTTCGTCGAGTTTTCAAATTGCATATCTTTGTTTTTACAAACTCCATTACGATCTCTATTCTTGTCTTTTTCTCTCTCTTTTTTTTAATTCGATTAATGACTCGATTTCCGTCTTATTTTTCAAAAATCACGAGGCACTCATTGTGGGGAGAGAGAGAGAGAGAGAGAGACTTCGTTGAAAACGATTTACTTTTTTCAAAATTACTTTTCTCTCTTTTCTTAATTTTTGCGAAATTACCCTCGAAACACTTGACAATTTGCCACCCACGAATACAGGGTTAAATCCCCGTGAAACGCTCCCATTCATCTAAACGAGCTTACTATACCGGAGAGCCGGATCGTTTAACTGGCTTCGGCAACGATTTGTTCGAGAGCTCTTATATGTAAGTGGTGTAGACTCGTGGAAAATGAACTTACGTCTGGAATTCTCGCGGGAACGCGCGGAATACGCAATACCAAAAGTCTTCTTGATCGCTGAAGGTATACGCGAGCGCACAATACACACATTCGCAGAGATTTTAAGTGATCTTCAAGTTCTCGAGACGGAGAATATTCGAGAATCGTGGGGAATCATCGTTTTTTTCTCTCTTTCTCTCTCTCTCTCTCTCTTCCCTTCACTTTTTTCTTCGGTATCTCGCCCGAGTATCAGATTACTCTGTACACACATGAGACGCGCCCGCGCGTCTCGATAAAAAGATTGAGAAAAAAAACCTCACAGTCTTTGAAGGGATATATATATATATATACGCGCGATAAACGCGGAAGAATCGCTCTTGCACCTTGATACGTGCCTGTTACACGTAGCAGTTATCCCGCATCAAAGTCCCAACATCTTCTCACGCGCGATCGAGTCTCTCTGAAATTTCTTTTTTTTTCTCTCTCTCTCTCTCTCTCTCTCTGCGCGAAACAAACGAGCGTTGTGGAAAAGCCAGCGGAAACGCTATCAAATCTCACTAAAGGCCGAGAATTTTTCTTCCTTTTTCTCCTACCTTTCCCGAGATTAAAATTCTTCGCGCGTAGAAGCAATTTTTCCCTTTAGATCTAATATATCGTTCGACGTTTTATATATATATATACGTTTCTCATTTTTCTTCGCGATTGTTTGCCACAAGTTTGATAACAAAATTCGCGTCACCCAAAGGGTGAGGTGAACTTTTCTCGCGCGCAAGTAACGTGGTACTCGTTAATAACAACGTGTGTTGCGCAAACACACGCGGACTCTCTTTTTTTTCTCGGCGATGAAAAAAAAGAAAAAAAAATCGAACGCGTTGCGAAAACGTGTCGTCGCGCGTGTTAGAAAGCGTTCTAAGCTACGTGCTTAGAAGAATCAGGCGAACATGACGCCGCGGTAGTTGATCTAAGCTGTACCCTTCTCGCGCGGGGGGCTAGGACAATCCCGGAATTCGAAGGTCGTTCTCTAAATTCTACCTACCGGGCGAGATCCAACGACCGGTTGCGAGAGCGTTGACTCGCGCGACATTTCTTTACGTAGAAATCGCTCTCGTGTTCGTCAGAAAATCGATGAAAAAATTCGCAGCCAAAAAGCAAGTTATCGTAAATCGCGTGTACTTTTATTTTCGGGGAATTTTTTTCGAACCATCGTGCTGGCTGTGCATTTTGTAGTAAAATTGATTTCTTATCGGAAATAGAATAAAACTGTTAAACTCTATTGTCTCTCTCTCTCTCTCTTCGAATTTATTCAAATTTTTTAAATAAAGTTTTGAACGCGATTTTATGATAATTGAAGCAAATCCGCAAGTTTTTTGCGCTTTTTTGTCTCCCCCTATTCAAGCGAGTAGACGCGACGAACTGTTCTCTGAAAGGGAAGGTGGCACGTGTGCGTAGAGCGCGTTTACATATTCGCCGTTTTACGATGCGTATGTATGAACGAAAAACGTTTCTACCATCGCGACCGTCTGGGAATCATTGATGTTTCCCATACTCAGCGCGCACATTCTTCGTTCTCACCATAAAACCGGTGTGTGAAACAAGGCGGTTCCCAAAGCGCAGTCCGTGGGACACATTCCCCAATCGGATTCCCTTTAAATCTCATTGAGAAGATTAATTCCCGATTCGATTACAATCGTCGCGAGAATTTAAATCATATTTTTATCGCTTGTGTATATATAGTTTTTTTTTTTAATGTTAATTATTGCGTATTGTCTTATGTGCTTTAAATTACATTAATTATTCCCACACGTTAATGTGCGCACTTTTTGACTCGACTAATTGCTGCATCTTCATTATTTTTCACGAAAAATCGTCAAAGATAACGGGTTTTTAAATTTACTACTTCGGCTGCGCGCGTGCCGAATCGATACGTCTCGAATCGACTATTTATACTCTCACACATGTTCTCCTGATAAACCGATATAGTTTATTTGATATAGTTTAGTTTTACCGATATAGTTCGTTCTTCTTCAGATCAGAACGCGACGATGTGTATATTCGTAATGATATGATCTACAGGTACTCTGAGTATTCGAGTGTTTCTTTTTGTGTATCTCTTGCTCTCTCTCTCGTTCGTTTTCTTTTCTGTTCGCACTTCCGCCATTGTCACGCAGTCAGAGGAAACCCGGGGTCGATCGCTCGCGACAGTACTGTCGTTCGCCGCTACGAGGCGTGGTTTCTCGCAATCAAATATTGTCCAAGGATCTTATATAAGATCTGGGAAAACGTTTCCAACCATCGCTTCTCGGCCTCTTGGCTAAGATCAAAAGTGTAGTATCTGTTCTTATCAGCTTAATATCTGATACAATCCCCATAGGGGATTCAGAATATTAACTTGTTTTTGAACACAGGCGGGTGAATGGAGCTTGCTTCGTCCCTGCCACGGGTCAACCCGATATTGCAGTTATTTCGGGACTGGCCCAACAATTATTTAATTCAAACAAAAGTAACTTTTAGGATGTAAAATTTTTACATGCGTCAAAGAGGAATTTTACTTGGCTTTTCTTTGTATTTGTTTTATTTCTTCATGGACGGGATTGTACATCGCGCGCTCGTCAGCGATCGGAAATGGTGGAATAAAAATAAATAATTTTTTTTTTTATATTTGATGAATTTTATTTTTATTTTTTCCAGCGCACGCACTGTCTCTCTCTCATGTTTCTGTTTTATGCTGAGTAACGCAATATCGTTACTCTATAGTTATTGTAATGCGAAAGAGAAACTATGAATGTGTGTTTATATATCAAAAAATATATTGATTGATATAGTTTTATAGTTTTATTTATTTATAACGCGCCAACACACATATAGGATGATGATGTAACAGTCCGTCAGGGTGCAAATAAATATTGTAATAATTAAACACGTAATATACATGTGTATGCACATTACAAATGTTGTGTTGACACAGGTCATCAGCTGACGGTATTTAACAGTCAGTCCACCATTCACGTGGGCGGTCGATGGAATCACAGCAAGGGCAGAGTCGAGCGACCGTTTCTAGGTGTGATAGCCGGACTGGTGGTGAACGGAGCTAGAATTTTAGAATTAGCGCTCGCCAAAGATGGCAAAGTCACACCCAGAGGAGACGTGCAACTTCTGCCGACCGGAAGTCTCTTGGATCGCACCGGGCCGTTGCAAAGAATGCAACAGGTAGACAGATGTTATCTTGTTTAATATCACGCGTTATAATAAACGCGCGCGTTTTCTCACTGAAATTCACGCCGTTAATTTCTAACTATCGTTCGCGCAGACGCCCGCGTCCGGCTTTCCCGGTGTCATGGACGACCTTATATTCTCCGGCGCCGGAAGCGGTTGCGCCGGCGACGACGAGGACGAGGAGTGCACTCCAATCTACGATCCTGGTTCCGGTAAGTGTAAGTAATATTTCCAAGCGTAAGTAACTTATGCACGTTTGATAAAAATTTACTTACTTTCTCTCTTACAAGCATGAAACTAGAAATACCGGTAATATAGAAGAAAACGAAACTTGAAAATACGTCATCGGCACAATCAATTTTTTTTCTCAGCGGAAATAGCAACACGATTCGTGATTTTATCCGTCGATCCGTCGATCGTTGGATCTCGTGGCCGACACCACGACCTTGCGCGTACGCAGTCTCGATATTACTCCGTTTTCAGACGATATCATCACTCCGGTGTACGTGGCGCCCACGCGATTGCCGACGACACTGAGGCCAAAGCCGCACAAGGAAAATATGGAACGTCCATCTTGCGACGACGAGGAGGACTGCGAGGAAGGTTCCGGCGACGCCAGAACGACGGAAGAGATTTTCGTCACCTCGGCCACCGGTTTGTATTTCAGAATATCGTGTTTCCTCCACCCCCTTCCTTTCTATATATTTCTTTGAGATTCCCTCAAGTTGCAGCGTGGAGCGCGCAACGTTTGTTTTTTTCTCCCGCGAGAACGCGCGGAATTCGAGTAAATTTGCGCAATTTATTTATTTACTTTTTCGCGCTTTTTTTTTTTTACATACGCTCCTGGTGCGCCCTCGGATGCCACCGTTAGCTGCTTACGCACGCGTGAATATCGCCTACCCTATTGCCAACGTTTCACAACGCGCGTCCATTTTAACTTTCCATCCCCCTTTCCATCCCGCCTCCTCGCCCTTTTCCACTTCGATCCATCCCCTCTTTCAAAAATAGAATTGCATGAGTAGGGCGAGATGAAAACTACCCCCTTCGTATCGAATATACAACGCAGTATTCTACGCACTCTTTTCTCTCTGTTTTCTGTCGCAGATCTCAGCTCGGTGACGTACACGTCGCCTCGCGATTACTCGACGAGCCACACCAGCACGCAGACGTCGTCATCGGCACCGTCGTCGTCGTCATCGTCGTCGTCGTCGTCGTCGTCGTCGCCGTCGACAACGTTGAGCCGCGACGTTGTCACCGTCTCCGTCCAATACAATGTGTCAACCACAGACCTCGAGACCAGCCACGGCAGGTACGTTGCGTTTGTCGGTCCCTATGACGTCCGCGCAATCGAGCGCGATATTGAGTAAATACGCGCGCTCGTGTTTGATTCAGAAGTTGCAAAGAAAATTAACCGCGTGCGCGTATAGTTTCGATCGTGAAATATATAAATAGCACGGAACATACAGCAACAAATAAAAATATTTGTGTATTTTCACTTTAGAAAATATTTATTTTTTATTATTTAAATTTTATATATGCAAAATAATGCAAACGAGATTGTTTTTTGCGATTCGCAGCAGCGTTGTGACGCACCGAACGACCACCGTGACGACGCAGACGACCACGACGGAGATGACGGAACCTCCGCCGCCGCCGCCGCCGCCGATGTACCCCCCGATGCCCACTCCGCCCAAGAATAACAACAAGCGTATCACTTCCGAGGCGGCCGAAAACGCCGCGCTCATAATTGGCGTGATAGCTTCCGCGCTGATAGCGATAGTCCTCATCCTGTTGGTCTTGGTAATCATCAAGTTCAAGAGCCGGCCGGAGACGAGCTACAAAATGGACGAGACGAAGACGTTCTGTCAGGATCCGAACGCGGCGTTGTTGGGCGCCGCCGGTTCCGGTCAGCCGTTCAACGGCGCCCTGAAGAACGGCGCCAACGGCAGCAAAGCCAACAAGAAGCGAGAACTGATAGACATTAAAGAGTGGTACGTGTAAAAAAAAAAAAAAAAAAAAAAAAAAAAAACGGAATACACCGTTTGTGCTTCGAGGGTTGTGTGTCCCGAGGGTACGGACATTGATGACCGACACGCTCATACCTTTCCGTCATTACCTTTCGTTCTGTTTTCGTCGTTAGAAGAAAAAAATGGATGGACGCGTTCGCTGTTTGCGAAAGAGCGCGTGTGTGCTCTTATCAAGAGAGAGCGAAAACAATAATAATTTATTTTATCGCGCCGGGTTCTCGCGACAAAAGTGCGAGAAAAGCGCGCGTTTCCTCACACGCGGGAGTTCCTCCTCCCGTGGGCGCGCGCGCGCGTCGTGTCACAGACAAGAAAGTTTCACGCGCGCGAGAGTTCCAAAGGATCCGTCTCGAGAACAACACGCATATATATATCTCCGATATGACCACGAGGAGGAAAGTGTGTGATCGCCGTAACACGCGTCTCCTTCGCGAGAGAATAATCTTCAAGCTGCTTAAACTTCGTAGTGGACGAGTTGTTGCGGATAGGTGCCTCGCGGAGAGATCTGAAACAATCAGAGAGAGGGAGCGGCTTACAATATGTAGTTAAGTGTGAACGAAACATTCCGTGGTGGTATCTCGCGAAGAGAACCGACGCGCGCGAACTAATTAAAAAAAAAAAAAAAAAAAAGAAAAAAAACACGATTGATAAATTGCGCGCGAAGAAAGAAAGACACTTTTCGCGAGAAAGAGAGCGTTCGACGATATATCGATCGTGGCAAAACGCCAGTCTCAAGCGATGGGATATAACATGCGAAATTTCTCTTAAACTCTACGATGTGAATTGAGGCAAACAATTTATCGCACATTTAAAAAAAAAAAAAGAGAGAAAAATAATCCCTTACTCTCGCAAAACAGTTTAGAGAGAGTTTAACCAGTCAATGATGCGAGAGATGCATCCGACTAACGTTGCCTCGCTTTTTCTTCGTTCCCTCGATGCGAAACAAGATCAAGTAGGAAAATTGCGAATCGAGCGGGAACGTAAGAGAAAAGCGAGCGGGAAGAAGTTAGAATTAATTATAGGAATTAATTGAAGAAAGAGAGGAGCAATTGAAGGGTGATACTAGCACAATGTTTGTGAGTCGGAGACGAGTCTTAGGAGAAGCAACCGTGTAAAGTGTAGGTAGGATCTTTATTTTCAGAAGAGGAAGTGTTTTTTTGTTGTAACTTTATTACTTTTTCAATAAATTCTTTTCCCCCACGAGCGCCGTCTCGTTATAGAATAAATTCTCAAAAAAAATAAAAAATAAAAAATAAAAATAAAGAAAACACATCGAGAAATGTTGATTTCGACGTTATTGCAATTTTTCTCACGTTCTCTTTCACGTCGATATTCTTTACCAGTTTAGATTACCCATGCGTTGAGATTTAGATAAATAATAAGATATGCTGTTTGCGCGAGCGATTTGTACGATTGTGTATCGTTTAGATAAGGAAACGAAAAACCTTTTTTAAGTGAGAGAAATGCGTGAAATATCTCAATATATTGTTTATTGCTATATATATATAAGATTTTATAGATGTTATAAAATTCTGAGGAAATAACCTCTAGGAGAGATTTGTTTTTATATTTAAGAGTTTTAATTGGATCATTTTCCCGATATATTGCAAAGGTTTGATATAATTACACGCGCACTCGGATTCGCACTCTCGTGAGCAAGAATTTTTTTTTTTTTTATTAACGCAGATTCGCGAAATTTGATTTTTCGAAATGTGTCTAAAAGTTCCTCCGAATACAGAAAACAAAACAAATATATATCATCTTGATTAACGCGGGATCGTTCAAGAAGTGATTTCTCTTTTTTGCGTTTTTACACAAATATTGAGAAATAAAAATTAGAAAATAAATTACATGTATAACGAAATGTGATATATTCTCTCCCGAGCAAATGTTGTCAATTCGATGCAAACGTTTGATTTTTTTTCTTTCATTTCGTTCTCAATGAGCTTTTCCGCGAAAGAAGAATCGAGAACGTTGGAAGCGAAACGTTTAGGGACGAAAGTGTCGTATAAAAAAAAAACGCTATTTTATCCTATTCACACAAACACACACAATCGTTGTTACATAAGAGAATATGAAAGTAGCATATGTAAATGGCACACACACGCAATTATGTTACACGTGTAAATTGTTTGACGATTTAAATAAATTTTATTAAGTCTGTGTGTGCGCGCGCGCGCGCGCGCGCGTTTTGAAGAGTTACACGACGCGTATCATATAAGTGAGATGCGTTCGAAGGATTCGGGTGCGATATGCGTGATTTACCGAGCAAGGAGAAGAAAAAAACGTGTAAAATCTCCGTGTCGAATTTTCGACACGCGGCCAACACACACTCTTTCGAAAATTTTTCGAAACGTTTTGTCCGTAAATACTTTTACGTCTGAACTATCTCTCTCTCTTATACACAGCGTCAAGATTCGCTTCTATTAATTTCGACGCACGACTAGCAATAAATATACAAAAATAGTTTTGTAACTAGCAATAAATGTATAAATAGTGTTTACGTGCGGATAAATACAAACGACACGTGCGAGCGCGTGTCATTGGCTAAAATAAAATAAAAAAACACAGATCGAGAGAGACGTGTCCTTCTCGTTTCGGGTATATCGCACACTCGAATGTTTCGCGCGTGTGAGAGACTGTGCGTGTAAAGTAAAAAGAAAAAAAATCTTATTATACATTTGCGGAAAGAGTGTGTTTGTAAGAATCGCGAGAGAGAAAGAACAAACGCGTGCGCGTAACGTGTGAGTAATAGACCGCCGTAGCGTACGTAAATACGCTTGTATTCGTATAAATCACAGGGTGTGTGAGTGCCGTAATGTCACATTGCACGAATTAGGTGATGTACGTTCCGTTTATATTATAATTGCGAATGAGAGACGAGCATTGAAAATTGAAACGCGCAGCAGCGAAAATCGCAAGTGCACTCAATAGTCGTTCGTATCGAATCTCTCTCTTCGTCTCCTCTCCTGTTGAGATTTGCGAAAAAAAACGTGAGATTAATTTTGTTTTATTTCTTTCTCTGCGTTGCTCTTTTATCTTTTCTTGAACAAAACAAAATATGAATCACATTATTGTTGTCCGACAATTCAATCAAGCGACAAGCCGCGTGCGCGAGAAAAGTAACGAGGCAAAACTCGTCATCGGTTAAAAAAAAAAAAAAAAAGCAATAAATAGGGAAGCTTTTAGCGACTTAAGCTAATCTTAAAGCGCAATTTCATTTCCCAAAGCGATGCTTCCCCGCCTGACTTTCGAGCGCTCCTCGTACGTACATCGGATCTGTTCTTTTCAGCTAGTCTTTTTATGTTTCTGTTTTCATTTTCACGGCAGAAGAAGGTTATAAGGGAACTGTGTGCTACTGGAAAGAATAGATCTTACATGTGGGCGAACACAAGAAGGGAGTGTGTATATGTACGTACACACAAATTGTGTTATTCAACAAACAATATCCTTCAACAGTAGGACACACTTTTCTCTGTATCACAGCGATTACTTGATAAAAAAAAAAAGAAAACAAAAACGTCCGATTGTTACAAAACTGCTTTTGAATGTTTTGTAAATTGTAACGCTTCTCTTTTTTCTGCAAGCACATTTCCCACGTGTGTGTAAATCGTCTTTTCTTATCTCTCACACTTGTTGTAGAGGATACTCTCAGAATTAGTTTCTGCTACTGATAGTTCCCTCTCTTCTTCTTCTTCTTCCCTCTCTTTCTCTCTCTCTCTCTCTCTCTCTTTCTCTCTCTTTACTTTATGTGATAAAACTAAACAAAAACTTACCAAAAAACACACGTATCTCAAAGCAACAATCCTCAGGGAAGTACGTAATTATTGCAATTAATCGGGAGTAAAATCGAGAGACCTTCGTGATCGATTGCTCGACTAATTGGCAACAATAGTTTCACTCACTATCGAACGTGATTTCGTCCGGTTTTTTTGTGAGTTTGATCTCTGACGTATGTTTTAACGAAAACAAATCATACCATTTCAATTCACTTCCAGCGTTATTGCGGATTATACACTAATTGTGAGAACTTTGATGAACTTTTAGAGATTAGATTTAATTTTCGAAATCTAGTCCGATATATGTATATGTACATGATATCTTCTATCATTGTGTGTGACGGAAAAAAAATTTCTTTCGATCAAAACGAGACGCGTAATCTTGTGAACTATAATTCAAAGAGTCTTTTTAATCTTTACTCACAAGAATCTTCTCTCTCTTTCTCTCTCTTTCTCTCTCTCTCTCTCCTTTGGAACGATTACTAACAATAAGTCGAAAAGATTATCTACTCGATCAAAAGATCCATTTTGCACGCGGACCGTTTTTACGATTATTGTAAAAAAGACATCACGATGATTGCGTCTAGCAGTAATTAGCACTTGATGAACGAATAGTAGTGATTACTTGGTCTGTGATTGAGGGAATAATAGTTTTAAATATGTGAAATATATATAGATTAACAGAGAGCAACGTTGTTCACACACACAAGCATTAATTATTACTCGTTTACTAAGCGTGTTTTTCCTAGACGCAATCAATAATATCCTCAACGTCTCCATCTTGTTAGACTTGGCAATTGTTTATTCCCTTTTTCTCTACTCTTCCCTATTTCTTAGAGTCCATTTGTATAGACTATGGCAAATCAATGTGCGAATCAACGTGTGAATTTTGTACATATGTATTTAAATGTGAATCTTGCGTGTACGCGGGCAGTTTTAATTAATTGTTTATTTTTATAGATATAATTATTCGTATTTTCAATGATTGTAATATTTTTTTTTTTTCACGAAAAGCAAATGCTGCTCTGTTGAAAAATTGTTGTCAGAACAATTGTCTTCAACACAGCGACACGCGCTGACATATTTTTTTTCTCGTAACAGAGAGTTTGTTGTTAAAACATTTTTTTAATAATATTTTTTTGTTATTTTTGTTCTCTTTACAAAAAGAATCTCAAATGTGTTGTCGCCACACTGCCCTCTCTCCAATTCTCTATCTGCATATCCTTCGATATACTGAACAATGTACTGAACTATAACATTTATACTAAACTAAATTAACTTCTATGAAAAAAAAAAAAAAGTTACATTTAGTGAACGATGTTTACTCTACTATGTAGCTTACACACAATGTACTGAACTTTGAAAGTCGTGGAAAAAAAAAGTGTGTCGTGCGCATAAAGCGCCGGAGCAGTGTCGGAATAGCGCACGCTTCTCGTCTTTATAAAGCTTTCGGATTATGTCCATCACCACATCGAGAATCGAGAAATTTTGCGGAAATCGTGACGTAAGAAACAAACAAAAAAACAAAAAAAAACTGAAACGTCGAATCGCACCGAAACCACTTAACTGCGAATTTTATAATTTTAACTTTGCTATTCGCTGTCGCTTAACGAAACTCTAGACGTGCATTCTGTCAGAGCTCTTTTTCTCTCTCTTCGTAGAATGCGCATTAAATGTTATAGCAAGTTGTTGAAAAACAGTCATATTTGTTTTTTTTTTTTTTTTCACTGCGAATATTTAAAACTCTCTCGGTATCGATATCCTTTGAAGGATACATATAGTTTAAAAAAATCGCCAATAAATTAATATCTAATTAAGACGTTAAGAGCACAACGGGGCAAACAAATTGCTACAACATTTGACAAATAAATATCATAGAGATTGTCATGCGAGTTGTCACTTGTTTCGTTCGATACATAGCAAAGCGTAAAATTATCAAGATCGCCGCTGTTTTAATGGACAACCACCCCTGGAATAATACCCTGAAATTTGTGAAGAAAAAAAAACGCGACAAAAATAAATAAACGCTCACTTACAGCTGTACTTAGAGAGGCCGCTATAGCTAGATGAAATTATATTTTACATTGTACAGTCATACGGTATAAAATGCACTATAAATTAGGTAGTGAAAAAAAAAAAAAAACTCATGTTCATGAACGAAGAAGCGAGGAAAAAAGAAATACGCGTATAGGAAAGAAAAGTGATTTAAATGGCGTTGTTGAGTATAAATGAGTCCCGTCAAGTTCCACAGAAGCGGACACGCTTTTGTTGTCGGCTAGCTGCGAATTTTTACGATAGGTATATATGTATAGTATATAAAGATGTATACAACCATATATACAAGGTAACAGGCTGATCCCGATCAATAAAAAAAAAAAAAAACAAAAACAAAAACAACAAAAAAACACTTGTTGAACGGATGGTGTTGTGAGAAAAAAAAACAATGTCGTTATTGAAAACAAAAAGAAACGAGAGAGAGACACCGGAGACGCGCATGATCCGGACAGAATTTTTGCGTGCGAGAAGAGTTTTTAAATACCCCATGTAGATTGGAAATGGATGTTGTTTGTTTTGTTGAGAGAAATTGTTCCGTTGAATTGAAACTAATAAAACGGCGAATTTCCAAGTTTTTTGTCCTGGTTTTTTTCTCGCGCTTTTTGTGTAGCATTAAAAACAACACCTGAATTTCTCGAAATTGGTGCCATCACATTCAATTCTTGCGCGGCATATCTTTTTTTGGCATGTGTTCGCTTTGTTAATTGCGAACGAGGGGAATCTCGTTAGTTTTTTTTTTTGACAAATTTCGCACATATGAACGAAAAAAACGCTCGCGCTGTTTCTTGTTAGCGCGACGCGAGGGACATTGAAACGCACAGGCCATTAATAGAGAGACGCGGTAAAAAAAAAAAAAAAAAGAAAGATCGAAATCAGCCGTGTTTTGGGGGTTCCAGATTATTATGATATAAATAAAAAAGATAATAATGAATATAAAAAAAAAAAAATACGAGATAAGCGTACGTGGTGCATTTAGATTTTTTACACGTCAAAGGCAAGGGACAACTCGTTTCGTTTAGCGTTCGCATCCTTTACTACATGAGCGGTGTGTGCATCTCGAACTGGGCCTCGATCGATTATTGTTAAATACATACTTTTCGCCTGATATATAGTTTACAGTTGTACGATCGGAGCTGAGTGAAACGACTATTTTTTATATTTATGCGATTTTATATAGCGATCGGAGAGCAATATAAATATAAAATATAAATATAAATATAAATATAAATATAAATATAAATATATATATATATATAGCGTTTAAAAATTCACAATTATATTATTGATACCTACATTTATTGTAAGACATTTTTCTCCCGCGCGTGCGCGCAGAGCGGGGCGTTAAAAGAAAAACTAGAGAGAGACGAATTAAGTTTTTTGCCATATCAATTAAATATTGAAATAGTGTTTTCATCAGCTTCACGCGGGAGGGGGGAAAAGCAAAACTTCCACATTACTCTTTACAGAACACAAAAATCACGCACGCGTGAGAAGACACACGTGAGTATCGTAGTGCGCGCACTACAAAGAGATCTCTTCCGAAATCTCAGGAGAGATATTGTAAATATATGGAAATATAAATAAATATATATATATATATATACATAATGACGTAACTATACGAGGTTATATGAATAAAATACTGAAACTGTGCACACGAGAGATTTGTTTCATTCCTTTCAAGTGTTGTTATGTCTGTACGCAACGGTGACGATCTTGTCCCCCAGAGAATAAAAAATATAATAAAAAATATAATTAACCCCGAAAAGATGCTAGTTTTTGTTTTTTTTTAAAAAAAAAACATTAGCTGTGAAATCGGTAACTGACGTTGTAAGAATAATTTTTTTTTTAATTTAAACTTGACTCGAAGTTTTTGACTTTACTGTTGTAAAGAAGCTAACGGATACATGTCACCTCTTTTCGGATTAACAATTAATTATTGATTATCAATGATCGAATTTAAGGAATTGAATGAAGATACGAACTATTTTACTACGCAGTGTTTTTATTTCGTAAGATGCAAATGTGTGTATAACATATACATTATGTTTACTCTATTTTTTAAATTCTACACCTACACAATCACAATCACGTTATATCAATCGATAAAAAAGAGCGATTTTGTTTTCGTGTAACTATATATATACGTCGTTTCCGTCGACTTATACGGTCAATTATATTATTACGTATATATATGCGCTAGTGACTAGATACAATGATATAACAGATGGAAAAATTGCGTAATTTAATCTTTACGTGATGATTGAAGCCTCTTCAAAAAGTTTGAACGAAAATTCGAGATGGAAAATACTTATATGGTGGGTATATAAGTTGATGACGTGATGCTGCTTCGTAGTAAAGTGTCCGAGGTGTGTTGCGTGCCGGAATTTTTGCGAGATCCGTGCTTGTGCGGATGGAGATTCAACGGCGGCAAATTCGGATGTTCGATTCTTGTCGGTGAGCTCACACGAGGACGAAGCGTGCCTCTCTGAATCGTGAGAATGCCTGAGAGAAAATACAAAAAAAAAAGAATCCCAGTCTTTAATTCAAGTAATTTTTACGCGACAAATTTGAATTTGTTCGAAGGATCGAAATTTTTTTCACAGAAACAAATAGAAAGGAAAGAGATGAGAGATCGCATTACCGGACTCGTTCGGCTCCAAAACGTCGTTGAGCTGATAATATTCAGTCTTGATGGACAGAGGTTCTTCGTAATCCACAAACGCGGTATTATCAAAAGCCTTCTCATCCTTCGGGCGATTGTGCACGGGGCTGACGGCCGGCGGATCGGCGTACGTCTGAAAGACCAAATTGGTTGGTTGAAGTATTCGCGCGCGCAAAATGAATTTATTTTATTGCCAATTCTCGCAAACTCGAAAAAAATAATATAAAACTGTCATGTAATATACAAACGTATTGTTAAATTGCCTTGAGTTTTACATGTTCGGTTGGTGTGGTCGTACAGGCACGTTTGTGAAACTGCCCACCCCCGATGGTCTCGTACGTGTGCTCTTCCAGATAGTGCCTCGTGGTCCCGCGCGGAGTCAGGGTGGCCCACATCACTCGGCTGTCCTGCATTGTATCCGCCGCGCACGGATAGAGCACCGCCTCGTTTTGCAACCTGCCGTTCTTCGTTTGTATACCGGAAGCCGTGTTCGGCATGGAGATCACTCCGCTTTTCCCGTTCCTGTTGCTGTTCAATGTTTTTCACAAATTGTCTTAAAATACTCTTTTTTTTTTATGTGGCTTTTGTTTATTTATTTTGACGATTGCCGACACACATGCGGTTTGTTCGCACGAGAATGGATACTTACAACTTGCATTTCAGGAGCAACGTCACGAGCAATATACCGATGACAATGACGCTGATGCACGACATTATCAGAACCAGAAGCCACGTGTCGTCGAACACGGTTCCTAAAAAAAAAACAAAAAACAAAAATAGATGGAGAGATACTTCTTTTTTGATCTTAAGCGAACTTTTCTCTCTTTTTGATAGTTTTTCACGCCGAGAAATGTTAATTTGTCGCTCTTGCCCGACCGACCTTGTTGCGGCATCTCTATGTATTGAACCCCTTCGGAACGCCGGTCGCAGAAATGTTTGCACGGACTGTCATTTAAATGCGGGGGAAACGTCAGAATGTCGGAGCTCGAATAAAAGTCGGAACCTTGTTGGAGAATTGCCGGAAATGGTGGTGGAGGTATGTGAAGAATATCCGGGGGTGGCTCGAGGGTGCAGTAAGCGCAAGTTGAATTCATTATTGTGTCCAGTGTTCTCATCTGGAAAGATTAGAATTAAAAAAGTTGAATTGCGAATTGATTCGATATCTCGCATGGAAAATTATAATTTTATAGAATTAAACACAGACGTATATGCGTGCACCGTGTATGCGTATGTGTGTGTGTATGTGTGCGCGTGCGTGTAAATATTTTATACAAATAATATTTTTTAACTAATATAAAAAATATAAATAATACGTAATAACATTTTAAAAAATTTATTAGAAAATCATAAATTCAAAAACATGCGCGAAAATATCGAACAAAGAAATATTGCTCTATCAAAGTAAATTTATTACAATCGAAGTGCGCAACAAATCAAGTCGAATAAAACTGTATGTGTATGTTAAGACCTTAAAGGGCAAGATCGTAAGTCTCCATCTAGTTTCCCCGTTTCGTTCCTTCTCACCGTCTCTCTTTTCGACTGTTTGTTTTTTTCAGTCTGTACCGTCGAAACACGAAGCACCGATCACAAACCCGCAACGTTCAAGTGAATTCGCCCATTTTCCGCGCGTCACAGATCACATCGTACGTAGCACAATTCGGAAATAATAGCACCGTGTTAAGAAAATGTGCGCTCTTAGTATCGAGCCGCTACCTCTGTCAGTCTCTATGACATCGCGGGGTGTTCACCGGACCAGTACAGGGCGCACGCGCGTCTTTATTGAACGTAAGTACAACGAACATAGATGGTTACAGAGAGATGAGAGCTGTAAATCCGAAGTTTTAATTTTTCAGAGACAAAACAATTATATCTCATCTAAATTACAAAAATACATCTTTAATTTAATCTTTTCTTCCAGAAACGTGACACCTCGCACACGTGTGCGTATCGCATTTTTATTAAAATTATTCGAAGTAGTCTTTTCGAGTACAAACTATATTCACAAACTAGTGTTCTTGTTTTCAAAAAAGATGTATGTCAGTAGACAAAAATATATACATCTCGAAAAAAGATTTTTCGCAGTTTTTTTATTTATCACGTCGAGGAGAGGACAATTTATTTATCGACTTCGGGAAATAAATGCGGATATGTTTGAAAAAAGAAATTTTTATTTATTAAGAAGCGTGTGGATGTGCGCACAGAACCCCCGTCACACTACAGAAGATACAGAAATTAGATATAACAATTGCGTACACGTGTAACTGTATGTAATATATACTACTTTTTTTCCTTGTGTGTCGTCGATTCTTTGTATTTAGAAATCACAAACATTTCTAATCGTCGGGTGAAATTCTGCCATGTGGATTAGTCGACCGAAGGATCGACTATCTAAAAGAAAAAACATTGCGTGTCGTTTGAGCATCCAATTTTCCGTGGGAAATGTGGCTCTCTCTCTCTCTCTGAGATCATCATCATCTCTCGGTGTTCTATTGTCCTTCCGTGAAACTGTAACATATCTGTTATCGACAATTGTAAAAAAAAACCAGTCGATTCGAGACAAATAAAATTAAACTTACAACTGCATCCGAGGAAAGGTTGCGAGAATCGAGACAGAGTTTGAATCGCAATCTTATCAGATTTTATTTATTTATTTTTTTTTTTTGTACGCATTGTTATCATCACCGATCTCTGCGCGTTGTGTGTTGTTATCTGTCATTGCGTAATGATTATTATGCAATTTATGAAAACGAGACGGTTCTGTTCATCGCGTCTCGAAAACAGTACAAACGTGACGGCGGATCAAAACGCTGTGAGAATTTTTTATTTTAAAGGCAAGAGAAAGGTACGCATGTTCGTTTTTGGAAATTTTTACGCGAGGAAAGAGAGTTGATTTTTCTTCAAAAAGCGAGGAGGATTCTATATTTATCGCAATTTCTATGTATCCCCAAGACGGATATTGCTTTCGAAGCAGAGTGTGTCTGCGCGTGACACGTATTGATGACATATATGTAGATTTTGCGGGATATTTTGGTACATAGATGCTTGTGAGTGTAAAGATTCATGTTGAAATCTTGGAAGGAAAGGATAAAAATTCACATTGGCGCGTAAAATTGGATCGTAAATTATTGAGAAAGACGGTTCTCGTCGGTATTTGTTTACCACGTATGTACAACGGGTTTTTATCGATTGATCATTCGACGAATAATTAACATATTGCCGAAACAGAATTTCTCGCTTTTACAAAATACGCGTTGCAAAATACCCGTCGGCGGTGAGTTTTAAAAACTTAATCCTATGTATGTACGTGTATATACATATGTGCATGCACACACACCGAGCAGCTTCCAGGCAGTTCCGTTTGGCTCGACGTCGACGCCGACGTTCGCAGCATCTGGAAGGAGACGACGATAGAGAAGGGATAGAAAAGAGGGAGGGTGCGGGCGGGAGGGGGTGTGTGTGTGCGAGAGAAAGAGCGAGAGAATTGGAAAGAATATTTACTCTTCTCTCAAAGGTTTTGTTTTGATACATCTCTGAAAATCACCGCCTTTCTTTCTCTCTCTCTCTCTCTCTCAATTGTAGATGTGAGCGGCAATTCATCGGGGGATTGAGACGAGAAGATTTTTCACGACGAAGTTTCTTCTCGCGACCGAGAGATGAGATCGTGCTGTGGCGTGACTTTTAGGTTATAAAAACTCAGCGTTCGGGCTGACAGTTTTGATGACAACCGATGTAAACAGCAAAACAGCGTCTCGTGCACCGTCGGTCGAGTTTTATGAAAACGTAACGCGGACCTTATGTATTGGAATAAAATGACAACCGGTGCTGTGCGAGAAGAAATGCCACTTAGCTCGATAAGTCACGTCGCGTCATCTCCCGCCGACACGGCGGAGAGCGTAAATCCTGGCACGAGCACGCAAATACCGTCGACTTGCTGCTGCACTCCTCCGCCGTCCTACCCTACCATTAATGTACCACTCGCGCATTCTGCGATGATCAACGAACGTGGTGCACCGCCTTCCTACGAAGAAGCAATAGATCCCAATGGTACGTTGAGTCTCTTTCTCTCTCTCTCTCTCTCTCTCTTCGATCACTTAGCGTGTTACAATTGTCAGAACAGAATGTCGCAAATGTGTTTCTGAATTATTTGCAGCACCACCGCCGTCTTACGATTCGCTGTTCGGTCGTATGAGAGAAGCTCGTAAAATATCCAAAGGCATATTTGACTTTCTAAAGAATATCATCTGCCTACTGCTGGGCACTAGTAAGTAACGAAGATTCTGTAGCCAAAGCTTGTGTTTTCCCCAAATGAAAAATACCACAGATAATAAAAATATTCGCATTTTCCAGTTGGGTGTACCATTATTCTTGGGGTGACAATAGTGGTACCGATCTGCATGATAGTGATTGGAGGACTTTATCTCTACGATTGCCCACAGGGCGAATACATTCCTGTGTATTTGTTGGTAGGCGGTGGGTTCGGTGTGTTCAAGCAATTGTTAACTGTCTCAGCTAAAGTGCGACAACGTCCGGAAGAAAGAGACGAGGAAAGAATGAGACAATCACCCACACAAATCTTGATCAATTGTTTCATGCTTGGGTGGTTCATCATTGGTAAACTGTTATTATTTATGTTACAGTTTTTGTTAGTCAGTTAATCGTCGTACTAGTTTATGTGAGAACTTGATTTTGTTTAACGGTGCTGTGTAACAGCTCGACTGGGCTGTGACTGAGGAAAGAATCTATTAACCAGTCTGTATTGTAGACTTTAAAGCTTGATACATTAAGCATATGCTGAACACATCCGCGAGAAGTTTTTGACAGAAGACTGTTGATTGTTTGATCTCCCCAAGAAAAAAAAAAGAGTGTGTTATCTTTGCTTTGTCTTCTCGTTGTCTACGCTGTTTCTAATTCGCTAATATTTTTGTTGTAGGTTCTTTGTGGGTGTACAAGGAGTACGAGCCAAATTACGATCCGGCGCTGGGAAAGTACTGCAACAAGACGTTATATTTATTTGCCTTTTGGCTAATCACGTCAGTTTATATATGTCTAGGTGTAATAATGGCTGGTTTGTGCAGCATTTCGGTAGCTAGTATCGCGTTTCAAAGACCAACGCCGGAACTCATGTGAGGCAATGGTGGCTCAGTTACTTCATGTCCGGGTTTACAAAATGACGTACGTCTAAGATCTGTGTAAGAGAGACTGCATTAAGGTTAAAGTCGGGAAAGACTGTGTCAGTGTGAGAACAATACTCTCTGTGCGCTGAAACGCGGAAAAATGATCGCGATCTCGTGTTGCGCACAATTTTTTATCTTTTGTGAGGGTGGCGGGAATGTCGTCGTCTTTGTCTTCACCGATCGATAATAAACGATCGAGTGTGTGACTTGTGCTTTTTTTTTTTTATATTAAATCGGAGGTATGGGAGATGTTCTGGTTTTTGATACAAAACGCCACAAGCGAATACACGGGGGGCAAATCTCGTTTCGGGAGCAAGTCGACACGAGTGACTTGAGTGATAGTACGGACATGTCCACTGAATTGCATCGCATAAAAGAAAACATTTCGTCCACGTTTACGTACCTGAGATGATTAAACGAAAGAAACATACATAGACCATTCGCGATGTGCATTAACGCGATAAATTTTAATCAACGCATAATATGACTTCTAGTTTCAAGATCGGAATATTATTTAGAATTATTTAAGCAATTACTTTTAACATTATTTATAAAAAAAACTTATTTATATCTGAACTTTCAAAGAAGAACTGGTGCGAATAACGCGATTACTCTCGCATACTTATTCGACTCGGACGCGAAATTCACTTGAAAATACACTCGAAGAGATTATTAATAATATACATCGAAGAGAGATTATCTAGACTAGAATACGAAAGCGAAGCAAAGATGAAGCAAAAAAAATAAAAAAACAAAAACAAAATTGCTCCGAATTAAAGGCTGTGTATCACGATACTCGCAAAGATTTCAATCTTGTGCCAAGCGGATGCAGAGTCGCAGACCAAAGTATTTTACTATCGCACAGTGTTGCTCGCACTAGCTGGTGCGTTTGAGATTTTTACAAATTCGTCGTTACACTCGCTCGAAGAATTCGTTCTCGAGGTGAGTAAGTAAAAGCAACAAAAACAAATCGCGCTCGAAGGTGATTTCGAACCGGCGCGACATTGTCGACGACAACGTAAGTTAAAAACAATCTCGTTCTGTCGGTTGCTGCCAGACAAAAAAAGAGGAAAAATACAAACGAGATAACTTGCGTTATCGACAATGTTACGCGGATCTAAATACAGCTCGAAGATTGCACGTGTTTACACACACCACTTAGATACGGTCTAACGTAACTTCTGCGACGCAGAATTAAATGTTAATTATCGCACGCGTCGCGATACCAATCGCGTTCTTCGATTAATATAATAAAAAAATATACTTCTCGTTCAATGTTATAAATACTTTACGAACTTGACGCTTCGCAAATCGAGCGACCATTTAATTCTGCTTTCACGTGACTCGTAACGATTTATATTGTTGTAAAACAAAAAAAAAAAAACAAAAAAAGACTGCACGCGATCTTGCGGAGACACAATTCATAAGTTTGTTCGTTCTCTCCTCCGTCCTTTTACGCTTCTACCTTTACCGGGATATCTTTCGATAGTATTAAACTTGTTTCGATTATAAACACACATACACACGCGTCGATTCATGATTTGTCTCATTAAGTATATAAGTCGCGAAAAAAAAAAAAAGAAACGATCGATTAGAAACGCGCACGTACATACTTACATGCACATGTGTTTTTCCTCAAAGTGTGTACTCCATTCTCGAGGAGTCTATAAAAAAAAAAAAGAAAAAAAAACCGACGAGTATTTGTCAGTATTTCAAGAAATCGCATCTCGCACACTTATTTGTGTCGCGCGTCGTCGATACGTGATATCGACGTGACCCGAAGTAATTAAAAAAAACATCCAATTGTATATTACGTATATGAGGGAAAAAATTGTTGTATATACTTGGAAGCAAAAAAAAAAAAAGAAACAAATATTGTTCCTTGTACACTTTCGCATAATTTTTATCGACTTTCCGACTGAACTTTAGTCTTCCTTTGTTAGTCTTTACGTTTATATATATACATATGTAATTAACCGTCTCAGACTAATAGATAAAATTAAATTAAAATACACATACGTAATATTAACACACACATACACACACACAAATTGTAAAACTAATAGATTAAATTAAATCGAAGAGATTTAAATTCAATTTCAAACGGCTTTGGTTTTTTTTCGAACCGTCAACGGGAAGTACAGCAACAACGCGGCTGATGACGAGCGCTCTGGGTGTAATTCGAGATTAAAAATTCGTGTAATTTATATATATACACGCTTTAATTAATATTTCAGCACGCGTCGCAGCGCTCGGCTCACAATTGGAGCCGTATCGGCCGTGTTGGCCGCGCTCAGCAGAATTCAGCGCTTTGTGCTTGTACTGTTTCGTGCTTATTGGTCTATTCCTCTAATGCAAATGTGAAAGTAATATACACGTATGTGCCAGTGACAATTAATAATCGCGCAGAGCGCTTACGCGCGCGCGCACGGTTCCGCTGACTCGCTCTACTTCTTGCTGGTGGTTTGAAATCAAATTAGAAAAAAACTTGCGTTGTATGTGAGCCTCACATATGACGAAGATTGGACCAATCGAGTGAATAACGATAAAGAGCGCACAAATAAACAAGAACGTAGATGCATAATAACAAACGCATGATAATAAAAGAAAAAAAAACCCAAAATAAACAGACGTTCGCAAACTTGTTCGCGTCGTCCAAACCGATGTTCAATTATGTAACGAATATAAATAATAAAATATATCGATCGATCAAGTAAAGTCCGCAAACGCGCTCGATCTGTAAACTCGATCGCCATCAACTTCATATACGGTCGTGTAAAAAAGATCATCTGTAAGATAAGAAAATTAATAAATTGTGTGTAAAGTGACGCGCACGCGGGCGTAACGACTGATGATCAAGTGTCGAATTGCGCCCGTGCGCGCGACAACAAGGTCTCTCACAAGAACATGCTTCTTCGCGCGCGTATGATAATTAATTAACAATAAGAGCTTGCGCTTTCACGTAACGTACACACACACACACATATACACACACGCACACGCACAAGAAACACCTATGTATATATAGATATGTAACTCGATCGTGTACATTGTGACATCGCAGGATTTCGCACCAAGTGTGAGTACAGATTGTAAATAAAAAAAAAAAAAAAAAAAATACGAATTACGAAATAGAGAGATTGTCGATCCGGGGGTGTGCGAAATAAATGTGTTGAATATGTAATCTAGCATTTATTATATAATATATATATATACATATATATATATATACATATATATATATATATATATTATAATGTAACAACACACACACATGCGAAGTATTAAATAATCCGACGATGTGTAATAGCATTCCTACAATTTTTGCATGACAAGAGAACGTATGCACGTTTGTTGTTATAATTTTCTTAAATAAAAACAACTGCGTTTAAAATATTACCAGCGCAGAAACTGTTCTTATTCCGCTTGCTTGATGATCACACGTTAATTAATTCGCGTGAATTGTCGACCGACGAATCTCAAAAGAGTCGATTTAGCAATCTCACGCGTCAACGCGTTACCTAACAATGAGCGATCACGGATCGCCGTAATCGATTTGCGACGTTACTTCCCCCGGACGGTACTCGATGCGCTCCTCGACGCGATAATCGTCTTCGAACGTAGGATAATCGACGTAACGCTCGATTCTCGGCATCCAAACATCGTCCTCGCTTTTCTCGATCGAAGATTCCGTCGTCGACGCCTACGGAATCAAATGAAACAATTTGCGAGACGTGTGCATGTGACAATATCACGTCAGATTGTTTTTTTCTTTTTTTTTGATATTCGGAGCACCGGATATACACGCGGTGATACGTGTCAGGAATCGAACGAGAGAGGCGACATATAAACACCCGGGTATTCGCGCAAAGAAAGACACTCATCCGCCGCGTTCCGGATATCGTAATTCCATTAACGATTACGGAAGCTTCCATCCAGTCTGGCGACGCGCCCGGAATAGCGACCGGATATATTCGTTCTCTCGTTCTCATTAGCTCTCGCAAAACGGTCGATTAAAATTCATTTTACCGGAAGAATCGCATCCGTTTCCGTTTCGGTGAAAAACGCGGACGCGGCGCTATTAAGAAAATCCGACGGCGCGAACCGGATGTGAGAGATGTTGCGAATTATTGTTCGTTGTGATTTCGAAATATTTCATTTGTCTCTCACGAAGAAGATAATATACCCTATCGCGCGCGCGAGATCAAATGAGATCGCGCCGTCGGAAGGGAGGAGGGATAGGCTCGGAAACACAATGCGAAATTCGCCTCTTTCAATTATCTTCACATTTGCGCGCGTTTCGTTTTGAGAAAATTTAATGCGTGCGCGATGCAATATTCCGAAATTGGTCAGTTATCAAGAAAACACGCGCCCACACACGCACACACGTAATTACAAATTACCTGTTCTGACAAAGGTATCGCTTCTGGTGGCAACAATTCCGGATTGTAGGGTGTGATGCAACGCGCCCGCCATATTGGTAGAACATCCTTCGGAAGAAACGGCGATTTTTCGTTCTTCGTGCCGACTTCCTGTCACAGTCCGCGCACAATAAGGTTTTGTTTTTTTTTTTTTTTTTATAAATAATAAATTTTATACGCGCATCAATTAATCGCGTCGGCGACTTCGTTTGTTATTTAGTTTTAGTAATTCCGAGTCGTCAATATCTTAGTTTTGTCGAGAGTGCGCATTTGGCAAGAACAAAGAGAATCAACCCTTTTGTACCTCCGCGACGGCGGTTTTGTCCGACATTGGATCCTTCTGCGCGGGATCTCTCACGTGTACGTAATGACCGTGCAGCATGCACACGTTCTCGAAAGTGAAGCACCCACGTCCGTACGGCTGTGCGGGCGGTGAAAACGTATATGTATTTTTTTCATCGCGCGTCCCGATTACTTTTTTTCTCTCACTGTTTTTTTTTTTTTTTTTTTTTTATTATTTTCGTACCAGATTCAGTTTCCAGAATCCGTGGAAACAATGACGCGGATGAACGAGCTGTCCAGGTCCTTGCATGCGGTCCTCCGTCCATGTGCCCATAAATTTCGTGCCCGTGTCGGCGTAAACGTACGTTCCCAAACCGTGGCGAAGATCCCTCTCCCATGAACCTTCGTAAATGTCGTTATTGGCGTAATAATAAACGCCGAAGCCGTGTTTCGCGTCGCGCTTCCACTCTCCTGAGAACAAACGTCAACGTTACGCACCGAAGTTTTTTTTTTTTTTTTTTTTTTTTTTTTTTTTTTTTTTTTTTTTTTTTACAACAAGGAATTGTCGCCTCTCTCCACGTTTCATCAATAGCAACAACCGTCACAGAAAAATTCAAGCGTCGTCACGAATTCGTGATCTAGAAACGGTGATTTTGATAAATAACGTATCGCGCGCGCGCGCGCGCGTGTTTGTTGAGTTTCCTGGAATTCCTCACGCGCTCTTAGCTTTTTTCTAGATTTCGGTGACGTGCGATATATAAAAATAATTTGCATGAACATATAAACACACGGAACGTGTTGACGTTCCCGGCATATGCGTGCGCGTGTGTGCGTGCGCTTTCGTCGTTGTTGCGACGACTCGGATCTGATTCGGATCCTATTTTTGTACATTCTTCCGTTACCTTCGTATCGCGTTCCGTCAGGATACCAAAAACTCCCTTGACCGTATTTGCGTCCCTGTCTCCAGTCGCCGTTGTATCGGGCGCCGTTACCGAACACGTACGTGCCCACGCCGTGTCTAAACCCGTTACGGTATTCGCCGACGTACACGTCGCCGTTCGGCAGCAACGTTTTTCCGCTGCCGTGTCTCTCCCCGTTGTCGTTTCTCTCGCCTTCGTACACCTGCGATCGTTTAACAAAGAAACAACGTGCGAAACAACAACGTCGTTACACACGTCGTTTTTGTCGTCACATCAAACGACATCATGATCCGATGCTCGTCGGTGTAATTTCCTAATGGGATACGCTATAACAAACATTAGCTAGCTAACAAACTTTCTTTTTACGTTACCCCGAGCGAATCAACCGGCTGCTTCTCGCGTTCCGCCGAATACTGACCCGCTGTTGATTCTTCCATTTCGTTCTATCGCGAAACGAGCAAACACAAGTCTCGATCATTGCGCGATAATCGATCTTCTGTTTATCGGTTGTCTTGTCAGTTTTTTTTTTTTTTTTTTTTTTAGCGCGCGCAAATATACGTACGCTACAATTATACGTATAATGTGTACGTATAAAATTTGATTATTTTCCTTTTGTGCAGCTGTTTTTATTTCTTAATAAAAATAATTTACAATGTTTTAAAAAATAAATGTTTTACATCGGCCTTTTAAATTTTCTATTTATAAAACTTCGATGTTCCCTATCTCCAATCGCCATTATGTGTGGAATGATGGAGTTTTGTATGTACACATTGTATGTAAATAAATTTGACTTTTTTTTATTTGGAAGGGAGGAGAAATATATTCTATTTCTAGGAGAACTACATCAAGAAGTGTGGAAAATTCAAACGGATACGCAATTTTATGACGTTTATATTTTTAATTATCAAGAGAGGTGGTTTCTTAAATAAAACAAAAATCTTATTCGTAATTTATTTACGCGACACGCATTCACACTTTGTTTTATCAGTCAATATAATTATCGATGATATCAATCGAGCCGAGAAATGAAACACTTAACGACGAGATCCCATTCTCGTCATCGGCCGGTCAACAGACCGATCAGCGCTTGCTTCTCCTTCTCTTTCTTGCGCACGGTCTCCAGATTTCTCTGCTTCCAGGAGCTCTTTCGAAGTTTTATCGGACGCGACCCCACGTAACGTCCTGAAAAAAAAAAAAACACACACATGTGTTCAAAATCGGAATAGACTGCGATAAATTTTTCCGCCGCAACAATTGTGCGTGAACGGATCGCAAGAAAACATCGTGGAATATTATATATAAATCGGATGTACGACCAACAATACGACGTGACGTACGATGAATTTTCAACGTGCGAATCGCTTAAAGACGTCATATATAACTTTTTCGCGTGCAATAACGGGCTTTACTATCGCGAGGGCTTTACTTGGTTTAAGCTTGCGGGCAACAGGTGATGGTCAAAGGCGCGTTTTCTCACGCTCCGAACTTGTTCATCTAAATAACATTCTCGAAAAAGAAAAATCCGATTTTTTATCGCGCGGCAAACATCTCATTATCCGTTTGTCTTTCCGCTCTTCTCGTTTTTTCGCCGATTTCATCTTTATTTATTTATTTATTTGTTTCATATCTATTGTACATCCCACCGAGCTAAAGTACTTGAGTCGAGTGTTGAATTACGCGCCACGTAAGTAAACAAAATCGAAAATACGATAAGATAAAGCGACGTGGCGCAACATCAAAATCAGTTGAAAGCGGAAAAGTGCGCGTATTGTATTCAATTATCAGCGCTTGTTGATCCCGTCACTCGCGATTTAATAATTTTTAAAACAGTTTTTATAAATTTAGAACTGTCGGGTAAAACAAAAATGTATCTCTAGGCGATTACATTTGTTTGAAGATAGCGTGTATTTTTCCTCTCTCTCTTCTGTCTCTCATTCAAAAAGCGCTTGTTGATCCCGTCACTCGCGATTGTAATTTTTAAAACAGTTTTTATAAATTTAGAACTGTCGGATAAAACAAAAAAGTATCTCCAGGCGATTAAATTTGTTTGAAGATAACGTGTATTTTTCCTCTTTCTTCTGGTCTCTCATTCAAAAAGTTTGTCGATTTCTCTCTCTCTCTCTCTCGTGGTTTTGATCAGAGAACAAAAACCAACAACGTCGGGAAATATATATATATATATATAAACATAAGAAAATGTCGTAGGTGAGACCACTGGCTGAGACCATTCAAAGTTACTCGTCCATTTACAAGTTTTACTCGCCGTCCGGATCACATTTTCCTTTTATCTTGTTTCTTTCTCGACCGTCCGCGGCGTGTTCGTCGATTACAAAGGAAAAAAACTCAGGCAAAATTTCCGAGCAGCGTAAAAAAATCGATGAAAGCTTTTCGGAGTTCGCGGCGAGAACTTTAAAAAAAAACGCGGTCTCGCGAGTCCCTCTCGTGTAACAGGGCTCCCGTCGTTGATTTTGCAGAAAAACCGCTCGGTTATTGGATGCAATAATCATTGCGCGAATTGATCATTGCGCTGAGAAGAGTTAACGAACGCGGCAAGAAGAAGAAAATGGGTCGAATATGCATGTTTTTGCGATAACACGCGATATTTGCGCGCATCGAAATCCCGGGAATGCAGAATAGCGCATTTGCGCGGCCAAAAATATTCCTTTCGGAATAGCATCAATGAGAAATTTCGCCAAAGAGAACGCGCGCGCGCGCGCGCGTTACGTCGAAAAGGCTCATGACCTCGCTTCTCTTTTTTCGCACGTTCGTTCTCGCGATCCCGATCCCGATTTTGATCGCCCACGCGACTTTGTCATTTGTGTCTGTCACACAAGCCGGGCGTGGACACCGAGAGGCGATTTTCTCTATTGAAAGTTCTTCTAGTTAGAAAACTTTCGATCTCCCAGAATTTCGTTCGCGGATACGCGATCGCATTGCGCGATCCGATTTTGACGCGCAAGCGTTTGCAATATTATTTGATGATGTTCGCGTTTTCGCGCAAATTAAATGGCGCACGGGGAGGAGCGTACGTCCCACACGGGGATAACCAACATTCTGCACGAATCTCCATTAGACGTTACACGGAGTTGTGGACATCAAGTTGACGCGCGTCTGCTAATGGACGCGTTTAAGGTCGGCGTGGGATTATTATCGCTCGCACGCGCGTATCCAAATATTGTACGACAAAAACAAATTACGTTACATTACGTTACCTTCAAAGTTATATCAAAGCAAATGTTGTGAGTTACGTAAATTTTATTCTTGTAATTATTTGTTTTTAATTAACTTTTGAGGCGGGAACGCACGTAATATCGAATTGAGATAAAACCGCGCGAGGAATTGTTTACTCTGGCTGAAACAATTTCTTGCGAAATTAGGATTTGAAATTTTCGTGTCGAATCGAGAGGAGAACATGAATCTGAAGCTGTGTAGGTAGGTTTGATCGCGATAGCGCGAGGTTGCACCGCGGGTCCGGGTCATCGATTAATCTCTCTCGTGGACTCTGCGAGCACCTTAAGCAGCCACGCGACTCGCATATCCGTTCATTCATCATGTCCACGATTCCATCTCGTGCATCCGATCGTATGTGTGTGTGTGCGCGCGCGCGCATCCGTCTTCGCAGTGAACTCCCGCCAAAGGTCACCAACGTCATCATTGGGCCTTTTCTCTCTTTCGCACACGAACAGTAAGGGACCTACAATTTTAAGTCGGAACCACCAGAGAGAAGTGCGAATATCTTTATTTCAGAAAAATCTCATCTCTAGAGAGAGATACGCCTGCGGTAATAGAAGATGAGATCGACCCGTAAACATTCGAACATGTTTAGCTGGATTCGAACCTGGGACACTTTTGGGTCATCTAGTCCTAAACAAACTGCGCCACAGGCTACTTGGGTTCATCTTGCGCTGTTGGTTGAAAATCCTTTTCTGCTATAAGTTCGCACGCTTCCATTGATATATCCCATCGCATAGATTTGTTTCGGCAATTAAGCAGAGCACTTCAGAAGAGAAAAAAAAGACATTACGACCCCGGCAGACCGGGGATGAAGTAAACCAATAGCGCGAGGTGTCGGTCCCAATGACAAAATTTTAGCGAGAATTAGCGTGTTATTATTTAGTTAATGTGTTATTTTTCAAATCAAAATGGCGCATTTATATACTCCTCAATTTGTCTTCAACTACTTGTTGCGTTCGCGCGATACCGTCTTGTTTGTCACTCCTCTGTCTTTCTTCCTTTCTTTCTTTCTCTCTCTCATCTTTATTTAAAAAAACACACAGATTTACAGCTTTAATCTCTCACCAAATTCTCAGTATTTTTTTTAGGACCCGAGTTATCTCCGCTGTCTCGTTTTGTGACAAGTCACAAAATTCCAATCGCGAGTTTTTACACAAATTTTTCCGGCGGACAATCGAGGCAATTATTAAAGAAAAATTCAAACGCAATCCAAAAGAAATCCAAACGCAATTCACACCTACTTGTGAGATATAAATGGCGCGCGCGCGCGGGAAACGTGTCAATCGCTTTGCAATTACGCGACATGAGCGGTTGCATTCCGCTCGTGCGCAATAAACCTTTCGACAAAATCCCACGTACCCATGCTGGAATTTCGGCAAATTTCTGCGCGCATCTTCACCACCGCGCGCGCGGTGAGTCACCAATTTTTCGCGAAACGCGCGTTACACGACATCGAAAACTGAGGATACAAGCTTAGCAAACGTATTATAAATAACACCATTTTACAACGTTCCTTGCATATTCTCGTGGGACTCTCCTTTCCCCCCCTTCTTCCTTCCCTCCCTCCCTCTTTTCATCTTCGAGTCCGAAATATTCGAGTGATTGTGCGACAATCTGAAAGAACGCGCGCGCGAAAACAAATGTCCGATGCTTTATATTTGGATTGCGCGGATTATATATTATACCGTTTGCCATCACCAGAACGGTTCTGGTAGAAAAAATTTACACATGATCCTATAAAACATTGGAGTCATCTTTCGTGACAAGGTATCTGTATCGTAATGTGTTTTTCTCTACGTGCAATTTGCTTTTCGCGCGACCGCGCGCGCGATAAAGAATCCGATCCGGCGCGAAGAGATAACGAACGAGAGGACGACACTCGTTCCGCGCTGACAAGAATTAAACGATGATAAAAAAAAAAAAAAAAAAAAAANAAAAANAAAANNANNANAAATGACGATGCCGAATAAATAAAAAGAGAGAAAAAAAATTGAGACGCCAAAGATTCCGCTCGCGCGGCCTACCACGAGCTTCCCGATTGGCCATCGGCAAAGAGGGTGGGGTGTTACGAGGATTTGTAGTAGGAGGTAGGGGTTGTTGAATGAGTAGCGAGATACTGGATGCTTCTCGCCACACTTGATCGTATCCACCCCAACCGTTAACCCGGGCGCTCGTGGTCTGGTTGTGTGCGGCTCCGCATTCGAGCCGCGAAACCGCCCCGGATTTGATTCCACACACAGAGAGCATACACGTAGTGCGTGTCGAGGAAGTGAGAGAGCGAAAAATCGAACGAACGAACGAACGACCGGTGCATTCCGAAGGTACGTCTCCGTCTCGGTCCCTGGTCCAAAATAACGAATTTAAAACGCTCCGCAATTGTTTCACGCACAAAACATTTTTGTGACAACGTCTGACATTTACCTGACATTTTTCTGCGTATCTCGCGCCGGTCATACTGGCGCAATTATTATATTGCATGACATTTTTGGGGTTTTTTTTTCTAATATTTCACAGTACGAGATTTTCTCACGCAAATGAGTTTTTTTTGTATGACTAACGACAATTATTATTTCTTATTACGTTTCTCGTTGATATTTCTTGGATCTGAAAAAAATGCGTGCGTGTAATTCGTAAAAAATATGAAAAAATTATAGATCTGTTTTATACGGCACACATGTTGTTTACCAGTATGGAAAACACAGCTCTCGTATCCGTAAACGTGGCAATATCTCGTGTGGCCAATTCCAATTTTTTTTTTTTTTCGGTCGTTTCAGACGTGATCATTGAAAAAACAATGTTCTTCTCTCTTCTATCGTAGGCCTCACTTTAACGCTTGTACAACGCAGTATCGCGCACGGATGCGTGAGCGTGTGTGCCTATACGAGTAACGTGGTGCTAAAAATTAGGAGGAATGTTGTATAAATAGTATCATCCCCCCGAGGAATCTCGCGAGAGAACGTAAACAGCATACTTGCTTGTCGACAAAAGTCACCACTCCGGAATGATAGACGATTACAAAACCGTAACAAACGGGGTAGAGGGGAACCGCCGGCTTACATTCATCCGCATATGCAAGCGCATCGTACATGGAAGTTTCCTACATATCTTTCGTATTTTTCGTTAAATTAAAAAAAAAATTCAAAAAAAAAAAAAAAAAAAAACCAAAATCGATGTGAAAATATTACAATACATCGCCACGCCAACGCATTCAATGAAAGATCTTTCAGGTCCCTTTCTCTCATCCGTTTTTTCTCAAAACAATGAAAATAAAAACAAATATCAAACATCGCGAAATAAATTTCAGCCGTTGTTTTGCCAGAGTTTCAGCGATAACATCTTCTTGTTTTGTAGGAAAAGACGAGACTGTAGAAACATTTTGCAACGCAACGCGCGCTTCGTCCGTAAATATATATATATATAAAAAAAAGAAAAAATAACTAAAAAATAACAATGGAGATAGTCTCCAGACTGCTCTTGATATTAGTCCTGGACACACTGTGCGTAATAACCGTTGGTCACGCAGCGCCGTTATCAGATACAAAAGACGCTTGGAATCGAAACGTTTTCGCTCCTGTAGTGAAAACGGCATGCTCTTCCGACGGACAATGTTGGGAATGGTTACCGATATCAGAATCGTACGACGAAACTCTCATTATACCCGAAAAAAATAACGATATGACAAGGTATTGTTACTCGTATGCTGAATTTTACTTTTTTGTCATCCCTCTCCCGATTTCGCGTTGCGAACAAATTTGTCTCTTAACGCGCAACGATTTTAACTTCCTTTGAGCAATTAATACTGGTCCATTTCATTATTGGATTATATTTTCGTATTTTGTCCCGCATGTCGCGTGTGTGTACACTAACTACTACACGGTTGAATATTTTGTTTGATTGTTTGACAGACTACAATACCGACGTCAAATTGCAAACCCAACGTCCGAATTTGTATCGAAATCGTTGAAAAAGAGCGCGTTGGACGAAGCGGGACGCGAACTACGAACGGCGTTGCTGAGCAAACAGATATCGGGTAGAACCGCAAAGAAAGATGTGTCCCGCAGTAATTGGACGCCATTTTCTGTTCTGTACATCCCGCACGGACCGCGAACGAATCACGCTGTAACGGCAATGTCGAGTAAGTACCCGCGTAATATTGACATTTCGCAACCGCGACATCCTCGTTCTACAAAAAATTTCAGAGACTTAAAAGAAACATAATTGTATAGGTGTATGCACTATACGTATCTTTTTTTTTTTTTTTTACTTTCTATATTTAAAGATAAAGCAAATAAACTTTGATTTTCACAACAGTGTCTCAACGACAAGAATCTGGTATGACGACCGAAAGTCCGATTTTATTCATTGAACATCCTAATTCGCGCATTGCTCCGCGAAACGGTCAACCTACTGTGCAACCAAGAAGACAATATTGGACAATACCACATCTACTTACATCGTACGGCTGGCGTGCCTTTGGAAAGTAAAACGGTAACAAAAATCGAAATCTATTTATCATAGTTAAGAGAGAGAGAGAGAGAGAGAGAGAAATTTTTTTTTTTTTAATATACATGTTTTATACACACACACTCACCATTCATTTCTTTCATTGCTTTGATGAAATCTTGTGGATCTTTGAAAGACACAAATCCGAATCCTTTGGTTTTATTTGTCCGTTTGTCTCTGACCACCTTTGCTTTTTGAAAACTGGGATATTTGCCAAATACCCTGACCAATAGTTCGTCAGTGACGTCATTTCCTAGATCTCCGCAAAATATCCTGAAATCATCTGTTTAAGAGATATATGTGTAAAATCAGAATACACAGTGTGCCGCGAATAATATAAAACTAGCATATTTATAGATAAAGTATTTATAGATATTTATAGATAGATAAAAATGTTTTTATTTTTCTCTTGCGCGCACCAACCTTCGTCCCATTCCAACAGAGATGGATCCTCCCACGTTTGACCACCAGCTGTGCGTATAATTTTTTTATTTTTTTTTCCTTTACCCTTGGGATGGCTCTCTTCTGCACTGGCATTGGCCATGATGGAACTCGCCTTTCCCTGACTAATAGCTAATTCGGCCGCGGTGCTTACACCCTTAACCTTTGGTTTCTTTTTTCCCTCATCTTCGGGAATTTTTGTATTTATAATTTGCTCAATAATTTCTGGATGTATCATTGGCGTTTGATTGGAATCGTATGTTTTTGGAGTTGCACTTAAACAAGGATCCACCATATTTGACATGTAGGGATTACTTATCTGTGCAGGTGAAGAATACGTCGTAATAGGAACTGTACCTGTAACATCCATGCTTATAAATTTAAATTTCAATGTGGTACACGACACGGATATAACAAAACACACAATACCCCCATCAATCTTTACCTTGTCTCGCTACTTGTTGAGGAATCAACATTGGTGGTGGTGGTGGAGGAGGTGGAGGTGGTGGAGGTGGTGGAAAACCAATCATTGGAGGAAATGCTAAAGTTGCCGCCGCAGCTGCCGCAACTACCGGCGTAGGAAGTTCATGTTGTTCCAATTGTCTAGCAACTTGATTATATGTATTTGCGCCAATTACTGGTCTTACAATTGGTGTTACGAGTTGTCCTCCAATCTCAGCTTCAAATCTGTGAAAAATATATGTTTTATATGTAAGTTTTCATTAAAAAAAAACCAAAATTAAAAATTCTTGATAACTAAACGAAACACAAGTGACATTTTATATTTCATCTTTTAAAAACAAAAGATTTATATCTGTGTTGTACTTTATTATAAACGAACTAATAATATAATACACACATAAAATTATAATAAGCAGAAGAGAGAAAAATCTAGATAGATCTAGATCTTGTAACCTCATCGTAAGTAAAAAAATACAAGAGAGTATATAATCTTCTTTAGTAGATTAGGTTAAGCATCTTGAATAAATGCATTATCTCAAATGTGAACTCAAACATTTGACACATAAGTTCTGTGACTTGTAGTTTTTAATTATTTTTTGTTATCTTACGCCTGAAACAATGCTGTGTACATAACTTGTTAATTTAAATAAAGCATCCTTTTTTTTTAAGAAGGTTAGAGGTTATGTAGCTTTTTTAAACACACACACACAGTCCTTTGGACTTAATGTGCAAAGTAGTTGGCGGCGTATTACTTATGTATAATTTTATCCATTCCTATTAGACACCTTCACTTCTTCCATTGCAATATTCTTCTTATTGTTATAAACAAATATCTTGTTAAACTTTCGTTACCTGTTCATCTCATCTTCCATTTGTCGAAGTTTGTCATCCATGTTTACTTAAAATTGTTTATACACACACAATAATAATTCAATGTTTAATCGTAATTTCGCGTAAGAAACGTGTGATAAATTACAATATTCCTCTTTATTGACACAAAAGTTGTACTAACTTGTAGCTAATCTTAACTAGAATTAACCTGTAACCCTATTGCTCCTATTGTCACTATGGAAAATGAGACAAAAGCCTCTCGCGCATGCGCGCCTCGACGCGCGCGGCCATTGCGACTGCCGCCGCGCGAGTGTGACCTTTTTTCGAACAAAGAAAATTTGTAAATTCGAATCGTGTCGATCTCGTCTCGAAAGATCAATTTTCTTTTACTTTCAATCTTATTATCCGTGCGTGACAATTTTATTTTACACAAGAAAAAGCATCGGAGACCGACGCAACTCGACAACTATATAGAAAAGATGTGAAACTGTGAGACAAATAATTTATAGCAGAGTTCCGCGAGATATCGATATCACAATCGATATAAATTTGGCGCCCACGTGATCTTTTTTTGATTTAGCGAGGTCTAGCGCCAGGCGGCGCTCAAAAGTGTTTACGAGATAGACGGATCTCTTTGATCTGTTGTTCGCAATTTAAAAAAAACAAAACACCTTGGTAAACGTGATGATCGCTATTGGATTCGAAGGCAGTGCGAATAAACTAGGTGTAGGAATAATTCGCGATCAGGAAGTGTTATCAAATGTACGGCATACGTATGTCACTCCACCGGGAGAAGGTAACCTCCAAGTTGCAACACGTGTGCCTTCATTTATTTACGAAAAAAAATTTTAAATAAGTGTGTAAACACTCAACAGCACAAGTAGATTTTTTTTAAATATAGTTTTTTTTTTTTTTTTGTAGGTTTCTTGCCTCGAGAAACAGCGCAGCATCACAGGAAGCATATTCTGGAGGTTTTGCAAAAAGCATTGGATGACGCTAAGATCACCTTGAAGGACGCAAACGTCATTTGTTACACCAAAGGACCGGGAATGGGAGCGCCGCTGACAGTGGCGGCATTAGTAGCCAGAACTGTCGCCCAGTTGTACAATAAACCTATAGTTGCGGTTAATCATTGCATCGGTCACATCGAGATGGGACGTTTAATCACCGGCAGCAAGAATCCAACTATCTTGTACGTTTCCGGCGGAAACACTCAGATTATCGCGTATTCTCGGCAAAAGTATCGCATTTTTGGCGAGACAATTGACATAGCGGTTGGCAATTGCCTGGACAGATTCGCGAGGTTGTTGAAACTTTCGAACGATCCCAGTCCTGGATACAACATAGAACAATTGGCGAAGAAGTAAGTAAGATTTTCACATTAATTCGCGTTTGTCAGTTTGCCAGGATTTCGTAACTGAGATCCTCTCGATGAATATTGGATATTTAGAAGATCACTCTTACGGAATCGCACATAAACGGATTCGACTAAAATTTTATGGAATGTATAAAAAAAGGGGTAAAAAATTGGCACCGCTACCGTATGTTGTGAAGGGAATGGATGTGTCTTTTTCTGGTATTTTAAGTCACATAGAGGAACATTGTTCAAAGTGGCTCGATACGAAAGCGTTCACTCCCGAGGACTTGTGTTTCTCTCTGCAAGAGACCGTGTTCGCCATGCTCATCGAAATCACAGGTAACGTATTTATCGAACGTCAAGTCTTTAGATACTTTTTGTTTTGCAACGTTTTACATTGAGCAACGTTTATAGAGCGCGCGATGGCGCACGTGGGATCGAACGAGGTGCTGATCGTGGGCGGCGTGGGTTGCAACGAAAGACTGCAGGAAATGATGAATGTCATGTGCGAAGAAAGAAACGCGACTCTTTACGCGACGGACGAACGATTTTGCATAGACAATGGCGTTATGATCGCAGTCGCCGGACTGCTACAGTACAAATGCGAGAGCGGTACCCCTTGGATGCAAACCACTTGCGTTCAGAGATACCGAACGGACGATGTACATGTTTCCTGGAGAGAATAAAAAAGTATTTTATACATATACATATATATATATCCTTTTGTTAAAACACATGTGTACCTCATCTGTTCATTCTAAAAACTTATTCGACAACGTCTCTATACACACATTCGTGAAAAATATTAGTTTTTGTAATTTATTCTACAATTTATCAAAATCGTGTATTTTTTTTTTTATTTTGTGTAGTTTGGAGTTCAGTGCAAAAAATCAGTAGCATCTATCGTGTTTAATTTTTATAAAAAAAACATACGGATTTTATTTATAGGATTTTTAATTTTAGATTCTTTCGGTATATTTAATCGACATGGTGTTACAATTACTTGGAAATGTAGTAATGTTATCTTTATTTATAGTAATGTAATCTTTATTTTTTCTATCTACATATAAGTCAGATAAAATTTTTTCTCTCGTTCTCTCTCTCTCTCTCTCTCTCTTCGACAGCAACTTAAATCAATATTGCGGTAGTTTTTGGCGTTTTCCGAGTCTCTTTCCGAGTAATGGGTTCGCTATTGACCCCGTTTAGATATGATATCGATCCAACTATCCGACTATTTTAACTTAAACATAAGAAAACGTTTCTTCGGCACGTATATGATGCTTTATCGATTCGGTCTTTACGAGAAACGGTAAACACGTTGACGGCGCAGAAGCTCGACGCGTGAGTTTTCGACGTACGAAACGCGAACAATATTGTACCGCGAGGTCGCGCGATTCGAGATTTGGGCAGGAGAGAGAAACAAGGAGGAAAATATCGATCGAACATATTTGGAGTTTGTGTGGGGTGGCGTTTCTCATACAAATTATTGATGAAATTGTTATATCTTTTTCTTCCTTCCTTTCATTCCTATTTCTATTTTTCTCTTTCGCTAACTTTTAATAAATAATTGCTACAATATCATAAGTAAGCATCTTTGCGTGTCATTTTAAACATCAGCAATGTGTGTCTCCTTTGTTTAAAATTTTATCAATTTTTCTTAACAAAATATCGTCTTTCTTTTACATATTACTTATTGGGAACTTAATTAATTACGTAAATATATACATACGTAATAATTAAACAAATAACAATAAACAATATAGAAGAGAAAATTCTCGCCTCGCAACGACATCGTATTCTTGGAGATAGAGACGCAGGTCATGCGAGAATCGCCCCGCTCCAAAAACGTTATTCGTCACTGGAGCAGGGTGTGGGAGACGACGCGCGAGTCGAGAAGCAAACGGGGTGGTTCGGGATTATCGTCGAAGCAGGCGCACCGCTGGCTCACGTCCAAGTGGTACCTCTGCCGGCGCCAACGACAGTTACAGTGGCAGAAGCTGTAGCATCACCTCCACTACTACTAGAAGCGAGCGACAGTAGCTGGTGGAGGTGGTGGTGGTGGTAGTAGTAGTAGTAGTAGAACAGTAGTCGAGCGATCCTGAGTTTCTCGGACGCGCGCCGTTTTTCTTTCTTTTCTTCACTGATTGTCCGGTGTGGCAAACCTTATACGCGATCGGTATCGTTCTCGTCCGCGGTTTTTTCTTCTTATTCTTTCGCATTCGAACGTCTTCTCGCGCTCGTTCGCGTATTCCAACGTTTCTGGCACACTCCAGAATCTGGCAACATTTTCGGAGCAAGGGAGTATCCGTGCATCCCTGTATCCGTACCCCAAGTCCCAACGTGTGCCCGTGTTACATTAACGATTAATCGATAGGTGCGCGGGGCGTCGATCGCAGCGCCCGGTGTGAACAAGTGGTGATAGTGCCAGTGCGGCCGTCGCCGTCGCCGTCGCCGTCGTCGTCGTCGTCGTCGTCGCCGTCGTCGTCGTCGTCGTCGTCGTCGTCGTCGTCGNCGNCGNCGTCGTCGTCGNCGTCGTCGTCGNCGTCGTCGTCGTCGTCGNCGTCGTCGTCGTCGTCGTCGTCGTCGTCGTCGTCGTCGTCGCCGACGTCAGGATTCTTCAACGATCATTATCTTCAAAGATACATCGATACGACCTTTGCCGAGACCGACGAGATGCGACGCTTCAGCGTGACGCGCGACGACGCGCCCTTTTTCCAGCCGGAAAGCGATCGCCGCTGAAGCACAAGGAGAGAACAGTGAGTAACGCGGAAACTGGTACGGAGATCATCGCTTCGGTTACTGGTGTAGGTCCGCTTCGCGCACACCTCTCATCTATTTCCGTATAGCAGCGGCGACCACGGCCACGCGTTTGTGTCGTCGTCATTAGAAATGCTCTCTGTATACCGCGAGACCCAGATAGCACGGGAGACTATCCTCGTACGTTGCCTGCGCTGTCAGCTGGTCGCCCTTGGATCTGTCAAGTCGCACGTATCAGCGAGAGAACAATTCTCCCGAAGCCTCTAGCTCGAAAACGATTTCCCGTAACACACGCTATACGTTGCGCGGATTAGAAGTTCAACTCGTCGAGATCACACGCACGTACATAGCACGTATTCGAATCTTTTTAAATTGTCTTTTGATGATTTTACTTTCGAAGTTGCGCGAAGCTTCCGCCCAAAAACGCGCTCTTGAGACGTTCGTGTCCCAAAGCTCGCGCTTCGCGGAGAGAAAGGGTTTTGTCTTTCTGTGTTTTATCGTGAAATATCGATTGTTCAAGATAAATGCCAGAAATATTCTTACATTCTCCTTTAGCGTTTATCCAAACGTTGAACTTTTACAATAAAAGACACTTCTTTTCTTTGTTTTTTTTTTCTTCTTAAAAACCGAAAAAAGAAAACTTTGTCTTGAGAGATAGCATTTTATCATTGCGAGATATTGTTTTAAGAAACAACGAAAACACATTTAAACCGGGTCTCGCAAAGTGTGAAATCGTTCGAAGCGTGTCGCGAATCTCTCGGGAACAATCGCGTGGAAATCAGCAATTCGGCCAATCGATCGATGAGCAACAATACAATGAGCGCGCGTAATTCATGCGTTGGTTCGAGACGAAAAGTTACATCGCGTCAAGTTTTATCGCTTTTTTTTTTTTGTTGCAAAAAATTGTTTAACTTACGAGGAAAGAAATTCATTACGTGGTAATTTTCGAGCGAGCGAGTTTTACCATCAACAAAATTTCGAGAGAACCTGACCGATTCTTTTTCCCCATCACAGTCCCTTAGGGTCATTGATCAACTCGATAAGCTGTTCGATAAACGATTTGTGGAAAAACATGTTGTTCGCCGCGGACAGCAGTAATTTTCTCAACGGAAATTGCAGATAAATTTTCATGTTTTCGTCTCTTCTGTTAAAAAGTTTCGGTGAATGAATCATCTTTGCAAACAAGCGCGTCGCATTGAATCGACGCCAAAACTGCTTTGCAAACGATGAAATTATGATGCAATCGAACGTTGCACTTGTCACTACATTTTTCATATTGTTCGGATATGTGTGTGTGTGTGTGTGTAAACATATATATCCTCCTTGACATTTTTATGATCTCGTTAGCGAAGTGTTTTGGAAGACATCGTTTTTGACATCTGCGAGAAACAGTTCTTACGTTGTAACGTTTCTGTGAGATGTCTTTGTGAAGAAAAATGAATTGTTCGCGAATAAAAGGAGAAAAAAGACAAAAAAAAAAAATTCCGGATTTTTTTTGGATTAATTTTCCAGACAAATTGCGTGTGAATGTGTTCGAGTCATCGCGCGGAGAAATTTCTCACGCGACTCTCTCTCTCTCACCGATATCAAACGATGACGCGTTTATAAATGATCGCCGAACGCACTTCGCTGTGTATTTTCACTTGTCAAAAATACTATTCGTCTTTTTTTTTTTTTTTTGTGGTCGCGCAATATCTCCTCGTTTACGTTTTTGTTACGTCCGAAAGGACTCGTCGTTTCCTCTCCGTTTGACCGAGTTAGATATATATTTTCGAAGTGGTATCGCATTAAAATTCTATCGCGTGCTCGAACGATGGGGTACGATAGATCGTATCGCAAAATTCGTCCATAAATCGTGTTCGTTTATATACGTCAACCGCGCGCCGCGCGATCGGTTAATTGTCTCCCGAAACGATTAGTCTGTACTAAATTTGAACAAACACGCGGCGGAAATACGCGCATACTCGACGAAGCGGAAACAAGATAACGCGCAACTCGAAACAAACGAAATCTAAACTCGAGCTCGTAAATTCGATGTTTGTTTTATTTCGAAATTCCATTTGCGCGTGTGAAAATTCAGCCTCGGGGGACGAGAAAAAAAAAAACGCGAACGCGTCGCGCTCGCAAATGACGTTACGCCATTACGCCGGACCGAAAAGGTCCGAAGATCAATAGTTAATTTCCGCACAAATATCTCCGGGATGCGGGATAGATCGATCCCGCATACCACCGGAAGTTTCACGGGACGTACACACGGAGGCGCGTTATGTCGCTGTCCTCTTTTCTTCTCGGGAACTCGCGCGCCGTGTTGTATTTCCCGACACGCTGGCTGGCCAGGTCGTTACGGGAGGAAGAGGATCGATTCTCCTCGTTTCCTTCGGTTCCCGGCTGAGAGAGGCCGATTCCCTCTCTCGCGTCGCGGTAACGCACTCAGGTCAAGAGTAACGTTCGACACGCTTGTTAATAACAAATATCTACGCGTTGATAACAATATCGCGTGTTATACACGTTTCCCCTTTCTCAAGTCACGTGTTTTGCGCACTTGTGAATTGTAATTACATATTAAATGCACACAAGTTTCCGCACGTAACGAGAGAGTTCGCACTTCTGGCCGAGGGAAACTTTTTTCAAATGGGATTTCTTTTACATTTCATAGGCAGATAAATTGCGTATTTTATATACATGAGATGCAAACATCTTATTTAAATTTTTGAATTGAATTTAATTCGTATGTTTATTTTATTAGTTGTATCACGAGTTTTTAAATTTGTTGTAAGAGCGAATCTAAATTATTCTGTTATTTAAATTTTTATCTTAATTAATTGTTCAAAAAAACCACCTGTGCAGAGATACGTAATTGCTTTTTTTTTTTTTTTGTTTACATCAAATTGCGTAATTCGAAAAAAAGATATTGTTCTACTTAGATATTAATTTATGATTTACACCGCAACAATCTCGCGCGACGCACGCTCTCATCTTGTGTGAGAAAATTTAACTGGACCGATTACAGAACGCGCGTTATCTTATATATTCGATTTCGTAATCGCGAAATGTTGGTCTTCGAAACTAAGTTTATAAACTAAAGTTTGAACGTTTAAAATAACGAGCGTTGTTTGAGAATACGTTACAGAGATAACGACGAATGCAATGCTTTTAATAAAGTTACGAGTTCGCGAGGGCCATGTGGCGCCTAGTTATATTATCGATCATTTCTCGCAAAGTTACTTGTCTCTGACCGAAACGCGCGCGAGAAACTCTGAAATTTATTTCACGCCGTGAAAACAAAATTTTCCGATCGTTTCGCCGCGGTTTGAATAATTCCGCGATTTGAATAAAATTCAAATTTACTTTCGGAAATCATTGCCGATGTTACCCGGAATTAACTTCGAATTTTCAGTAACAACGCAGAACCCTATCCGGATTTTCGCAATTCGCGCGCGAATTGCGTTCCTCGCGATCGCGAACATAAAGTCTATAAAAAAAACAACAGAAAACAAACCGTGAGAAATGCGAGAAGTAGGCGAAAAAATCTCAAAAAGAGAGAGCTTCACGAACAATCTCTTTGCGCTGAAAACTCACGATTTTGTTTACGCGCATGCAAATCAAGACGTTTAAATTATACATACGTACGATGTGTGACGATGCAAATCGAAAACAATGAAAAATGCACAGGGCGTACCGTTGGAGATTCTTGTATTTTTTTTATGTGCGCAGTTACAGGTAATATCGTTCGAGATACCTCTCTACGTATTTTTTCCGGAGAGGGAATAGATGTGCGGGGGTTTATTTGTTTCGCGCTAAATTTATCATCGCCCCGACGTAATTAGACGGTTGAGAGTTTATTTTTGGCGAACGTGACCTTTGTCGATTCTCTTAGCGCGCGCGAAACATGTGTTTCCGGAAGTAGAAGCGGGAAGTAATTACATAGTTGAGGGAGTTGAAAGAAGATCAGATAACGACAATAAAAAAAAACAATACACACGGAATATGCGTAAAAATAGACAATATCTTGATTTAATAAACAAAAGAAACTGTCTGGTACACGTAACGAAAATGTGATTTGCAGATCATGACACAGCCGAGTCTGTCGACGAAGTCGACGGCGAAGCTTGGACCGATTCACGGATGAAGCTGAAGAAGAATACAGTGGACGAGGAGGAGGAGGACGACGAAGAAGAAGAAGAAGAAGAAGACGACGACGAAAACAAAAAAAGAAAGAAGAACGTTTCTCAGCTTATTAACAAATAACTTAAGAAAGACCGTGGAGAAGCGTGGTGTCATCAGCGCGATAGATACCGGTCCGCGCTGGTAGCCGACAACGTAAACCCGCCGTCATTCGGCGCGTCCGATGCTGAACGAGAGACGGCTCGAGGACAACACACTGGCGGACGGGGAACGTAATGGTAACGCCGTGGTCACCGGCCCGGCGTTTTCATCGTCGTCGCCGTCGTGCACGGTGCCCTACATCGGCTCCGACCAGGGCTACGTGTTCGAGGGTGGCGGCACGACGACGTTGCAGCAGCCCGGTGCAGCCGGTCGGGGAACCGACCGCACCGACTGCACCGGTGGCGGAGGAGGTCTCGGGTTCGGTGTGTCGGGAGGTGGTCTAAGTGGCGGGCTTGGTGGAGTCGGCACCGGAGGAGCCACGGGGATGGCGGGAATGGGTGGTAGTGCAGGAGGAGGAGGAGGAGGGATAAGCACGAACAAGGAGGTCCGTTACGCTCCGTTTTCATCATCCGTAGGACCGGTCGGTACCGTGGCGCCGGTAAACCTGCCGTCTCTACCGCCACCGCCGCCGCCGCCGCCGCCGCCGCCACCGCCGCCGCCGCCGCCGCCGCCGCCGCCGCCGCCGCCGCCGCCGCCGCCGCCCCTGCCGCTGCAGATGCAGCAGCAGCGTGCCTTCTCGAGGTCGATGACGTCCCTGCCGCCTGAGCCGTTTATGATCATGCGTTCGAAGGCGCTGAACCGGCGCGTCTCGATCAACGTTGGCGGCGTTAAACACGAGGTACTCTGGCGCACCCTCGAGCGATTGCCGCACACACGTCTAGGCCGGTTGCGGGACTGCAACACCCACGAGGCGATCACCGAGCTCTGCGACGATTACTCCCTGATCGACAACGAGTACTTCTTCGACCGACATCCCAAGTCCTTCAGTTCGATCCTTAATTTTTATCGCACCGGCAAGCTTCACCTGGTGGACGAGATGTGCGTGCTAGCGTTCAGCGACGATCTCGCCTACTGGGGAGTCGACGAGCTCTACCTCGAAAGTTGCTGCCAGCACAAGTATCATCAGCGTAAGGAGAACGTGCATGAGGAGATGCGCAAAGAAGCGGAGTCGCTTCGGCAACGTGAGGAGGAGGAGTTCGGCGACGGAAAATGCGCCCAGTACCAGAAGTGGCTGTGGGATCTCCTCGAGAAGCCGACCACATCCATTGCTGCAAGGGTGAGTCGCATAATAAGAGCGCGGGAGTACAATCTCGCGGTAATAATAAATACAACACGCGGCAAAAAGACGTCGCGCATCGTCCTTCTTTCCTCTTCACCCTCTATCTCTTTCTCTCTCTTTCTCTCTCTCTCTCTCTCTCTCTTTCTCTCTCTTGGAGCGAGCACGTGTGTAATACAAAGCGCGCGTGCAAAAGCTACAGACTCGTCGCGTAATATATCAAATAATTATTGAAGAACAAAAAAAACAGATACTTTCGACTGTATATCAAATTCAAAACTAGATGTTCCGTAAAACCGTCGTGACTTATTGTCGCGAAAAATTGTTGAGTTTGTGCCAAGCGTTCGAGTTGTTCCAATAAAAACGTATCGCTCGACATTGATCACGTTAACTTATTAAAGAGAATCGGTCCAAATATTTACACGACAAACAAGAGACTCTTCAAATAGCTCAATGTTGAAGAAGCTCAAGTTCTCGAGCTCTAGCTTTGGCAATTATTTAGATGCTGAAGAGGAGAGCTCTCGAGAAACGTGTCGTTGTGTTGTTCGTTCTCTGCGCTACACGCGTTTTGGCTCGTTTCTACTTGCGACATATATATATATATATATATATGTATATATATACGTTGAAAACAAAAACAAACAAAAGTGTTGTACGTTTGAGCGCTCGGTAAGGCGAACTTTTCGTCGTAGCGACGTTACGACACGTTTCGTTAAGACGATTCGCGACGTTTCCATCCTCATATACAACAATAATTAATAATAATGATGATGATGATGATAATAATAATAATAATATATCACACTTTCTTTTCGTTCTCAGAGAGAATTTTTGTCTCCGATAACTTCTTTGACTTCTCTTCCTCTATAATTCAGCTGTTACATATTTATTACTTGTATTAAGTTTTTTTTTTTTTTTACGCGTGTCAACACTAACAAAGATAAAAGTAATACCGAATTATCGCGTAATATCGAAGAACCGCGCAGAATTTTCGCATCAAATTTTTAGGATCAAATCATCTTGGGCGCGAATTCAATTTCTTCGTCCGCTACGAAAAATTGCATCCGCAACAATCTCTCGCTTATTTGTTTTGAGTGTACTTTTTAACGAAAATAATTTAAAATCTGTGTGGTTTACATATTAATTCACTTAATAATGGTGCCCACGCTTGCAGTTTCTTGCCGGAGCTGTAAATCGACCAAAGGTATTCAAACACTAATAAGTCGATATTACAGCATCGATTCGAACGTAGCTCGCAGAGTAGAAAGTTTAAAAAAAAAAAAAAAAAGCGAACAGAGTAGAAAGAGAACGTATGACTTTTTATGAGTTTCACCACGTTGTTGTTTTAGATCGTCCAGTGAGGCGCTCGATCGGCGCAGATCGCAATCGAGAATCTGAACTTTCTAGAGTAGGCAAATTATTTTCCTCGTCACCGATTCGGGAGGAAGTCGCGCGCGGTTGAAGGAATTATTTCGAAGGATTATTTTTTGAGAGAGAACCAAAATTTTTTTTGCTCCGCAAAATCGAGTCATTTGCGTGGAATCGATCGAGCGTCAAAAACTGAGCGAGTAAAAAACTGGATGAAATCGAATCACAACATCTAGAACGTTTGGCATTTAGTTTTTCAACATGCTGAGTAACGTCGCAAGATAGCGTTTTACTTGGCTGTTTGTTTTTTTTTTTTACAACATATACATCTCTAGCATTACTACTCTATACAATCGTCAAATGTAACATATGTATATCTTTTCTGATTTTAGTACACGAGTAAGTACATGTACACGCATATATATATTATATATATATATATATATATATATATATATATATGTATATATATATAAATTAATATTTTAGATTCCCTGCGAGAAAAACGTTGACGTCGAATCTCTGTAATGTATATTTTATTTCTAGGTGCTGTTGCTCAACACATGATACTAATCTCTTCCCCCGTTTTTCTTTTTTTTTTTCTTTTTTTTTTTTACATCACCGCAATCCAGCTTTTAGCCCGCAGTTTTTGTATTTGTATATCCCGAAAGAGTGTGCAAAAGCGAAATATCGCGGCCGCGCGATCGGCCCCCCCCCCATCCCCCGATGATAATGGGAGTGTCTTATACGCGATTACCAGGTATCACGTTGATTCTTTCTCGACACCGCTCCCTGATAAGCGAATATTGCTTAATAATTTCGCTACCAGCGAATTCAATTCGACACGATATCATACATACGCATGCGTGTCTTATGTGCACCCGTATGTGAAGAGATACAATTGCATATGTAAATCTTGTTGTTGTTGTTGTTGTTTCACATGTATTTTCTATGGTAATGTATCATACAAATGTTTTTATCTTGTACATGTAGACAGAGAAAAAACTTTCACACACCGAAAATTTTTTATACAAATTTCATACACACGGTTTTTTAATGTGAATTTGCAGAAATTCTGTTTTCTCAACGATACAACGTGTCAAAAAATTTTTATGTCAAGAAAAATTGTATTCTAAATTTTATAAAAAAAAAAAAACCAAAATTAGAAAATCACTTTTCGCTAAATTTCCAAAAGACACTTGTTTTTTTATTTCATTCAGCAAAATTACACACGAGAGAGTCCCGGTGATAAGCATATGACATCTCATACTCTTTACACGATTAAAACGTTTCCTTAATCTTTGATGTATACTACTTGACACACCACAAACAATACACATTGCACACACTGTTGCTCCGAAGTGAAAATTGATAATTTTGTGCGGGGTTATCACGGGGATCCCCACACCGATCCTTTCTCCGATCCTTCAAAATAAAAATTCGACCTCACGAAAAAAAACAAAAAAAACCAAATGACCGTCCTCTCCCGAAAAGCTCAAGTACGATGACCTACTATGTACATATCCTGCGTTGTTTTCCAGGATATTACCTTTTAAGTCGTCTGTTACATCAGAAATAAGACGTCGATGTCATCCTGTGTGACATCATCTCTCGGAAACAGCTTCTTATAATATAAAACTACTACGTTTTTTGTGTTCCCTCTTTGCTACATACATCCGTGTGATAACGGCTGCGGCACGGCACTTTTTAATGGTAATAGCTTTTGAGAGCTGATATACACCCTCACCGGTGCACCGATATTCTTAATCGAAAAAAAAAAAAAACCTAAATAAACTCACCGTCTCTACTTCCTTTTTGCAACAACTCTCTTTTCTCGTTGCCCGTCTCCAAACGTGTTCTCTTTAACGGGCCTATCCATTATTACAGAAGCTATATCGATCTGTCGAGTATATTTAGAGTACATAAGGGGTCATAACTACAACTGCCGATGTCAGTGTGAGAGTATATAGCCGGTAGCCGTGATCCGTGAAAGATCCCTCCGAGTCTCTCTTGGGAATATTGTAAAGCATTCGCTTGGTCGCGCGGAAATGTAATGCCGCGGCGTAGCGTCGTGGAGAAGTTCGTCTTTATTATTGATTAAACATATTTTGAAACTGTAATATCAATTTTGCGACATTTCGGTCCAAAAGCGTCGCGAAATTGATATTGCATTTCCGAAACTCAAGGAATTGAACGTAAACGGGAACATTTTATTTACGAAATAAAACGTTCCCGTTTTCGCATCAGCGAAAACGCAAATGCGGCCCCGTTTCTTCGTCGCGATCTAACTCCCTTTGTGATTTTTAAACGAGGACAGAGAAGATACAAAGAATCTTGATGCGCACTATAGTAAATGACAAGTTTATTATAGTGCACATCAAATACGTAAAAAAAATCGTAAAACTTAGGTATATCTATGTGTGAGAAAATTATTAATTAATTTTCTCACACATAGATATAGTTTTTGTTTTTTTTAAAAAAATGCAGTTTTGCACATAGAAGTGAACGAAAATTTGGAATCTGGTGAGAGACTATCTGAACGGTGGTTGTAGTCATGCATTCTAGTTCGATGACTTGTCACGTATATCAGAAAAAAGAGAGAAGGAGACCACTGCACTTGCAACGCGCGCACTAGAGCTCAAAAACAAAAAAAACAAAAAAAAACGATATATTCAACACGAATTTTACGATTTTGTCCGCCTTTTGTCGGCTTTCTTTTTTTTTCAGTCTATTTCGGCTTCTTTTTTATACCGCAGCTAAAAAAAAAAAAAAAAAAAACAAAATAAAATCCGAAATGTGAAAAATAAAAAAACCTGGCACAAATCGCTTTGTCGCACGAACACCACACGTACATCGGAAAACCCGTACGCGAAATGTACGTTGCACGGAATGCTTGACACAGGAAACACACGCACAGAAACACATGCACTTTCAGACACATACTGTGTTTTTTTTTTCTTGATATTAATTCGGACACGTTTTCGGTGGACATCGTTCGGTGCCATCCCGAAGATGGACACCGTGCGTGTTTGCATGTTCATTCACCCTTTTTGCGGTTGAGTGTTTTGTTGTTTCTTTTGAGAGAGGTAATAAATACACGTAACATACACACACACACACAC